TAATTATTATTTGTCGTGAGATACAAAACGAAAGTATCACGCGCAGAACGTAGCATAACGGCTTATCCGCAGCCGTGCCTGTGTGAATCTACTTTTGCTGGAGTCGAGCAGATGTCTCCAAGCTGGTGTATGTCCTCTGCCCCGCGTCTTCCTCTTCTTTGTCTCGCAGTGTACCACATTCCAAGTGTGCATCCACCCGTTGCTTCTTTGTGTACCTTCCAGTTTTTGTTCCATTTTCTTTGTCAGTGGCCACGTGTAGGCTTCGTCTCGTCCATCGCATTGACCGTGAACGCACGCAAACGGCCTTGGGTGGAACACTTCTCTCAGTGGACATTACCTGGTAAAATAAAGTAAAAACAACAGTTTTTTTATAGTTTGTTTTTATTAACACAATAAAACGGTGGACCGGCTTCAACATTCAGTGTCTCAGCACAGTCAGGCTTGCCTAAATCAACGACGCTGAATTGCCAGATGTTTATAGGCGAGGAAGCTCTGTAAGATGTGGATCCTAGCTTGGCACAAAACTATATACAGTAATAATTAACACAAATTCATCATGAGCGTCACTGATGGGAATATGAGTAACACAATACATAAGCAGCCATTATGCCTGCTTCCGATATGTATCTTGCCTTAGAAAAATGAAGCACTTTTGTTTGACATCCCATCAGCCACACGGCATTCAGGGAGTGATTCAAGGTGCGTGACGGTGAACTGAAGTTGCCGAGCGGAGGAAAGAGTCTTACGGCGTCGTACAAACTCCATCAGCCTTCAGCACGAACTCTCACAACTACCCACAAAGTAGCCACAGTTATACGGCGTATATTGGCTTGCCAGTTACTTTAAAAAATTGAGAATAACATGCAATTCATGGAAGGAATTGGAATTCCAACATAAACATTTTCAAGAATAATGAACGCTCGCTTCTTGGCAAAAACAAATGCAGTGCCGAAAAGAAGGCTAATGATCAAAATTCGAATGTTGGTCGTCAATTCATGAAAATGTGACCGTGTGTGTGAACGATGGGATGGCGTAGAAAAGCGCCATCGTGGCCATATTAGGCACCTCAAGTCCACAAAGTCATCATTCCGAAATAACATTTTCTTTACAAAAAGAATAACCGCTAAGATTCCATTCTTCACATAGAAAGATGTAATTGTGCAACATGGTATTTAGTGGTGTTCACTACATAGCGTACTTTTCTCAGTAGGCTTAAGTCTACACGCAAAGTTTTCAGTGAATATCGTGTTATTACTTATAAAATAAACAATCAGGACACACTGACTCTTAGAACAAATTGTGCCAAACAGCTGGTTAACCTGCAGGGGTTTCTCGTGATTTTTATAAAAGGCGTAACATTTAGAATTAGCAAAAAGTGTTCCAAGTATATGAGATTTTCTATTAAACCTTGCGGCAGCTGTGTTGCCACTGCAGTAACTGGGGGAAATGCCAGGAATGTGTTTTAGAAACTACGATGCCATCCCCGCACAGAGTTTGTTCGAACTGAGCTTGGACTGTGAAAAAAAAATTTCGTTAAATTCACCAAATGCCAAGTTCTGGCACTGCCCTCTCCTGCACAGGTGCGCATTTGGGATAACAAACACCCAACATGTTCATAAATAACACCGCCTTTAAAGAAAAACACAAATATGGGCAATGTAGCGCACATGAACGAACCATATCATGTATGTGTTATGGAGGACCATTTCCATTTCAGGGAGTGTTTTGAGAAACGTTTTGAGATTCTTTTTTTTCGCTGCTGATGCACCACTGCCAACGCAGTGTCACCAAATAATGTGCTTACATCGGAGATGCTGTAACAATCCACTGGATACCATGAAGGTACAGTGGCACCAGGGCATCTGTAATGTGAACCTCTTAACGCGTGGAGGTCGGGCGAAACTTGTCCTGTGCGGATGAGACACTTAATATGACCGTCAATCATGCATTCTTCAGTGGAATGGGTAACCCAGTAAACATGCAACTTTGGGCCAACCGTTACAACCAGTGGCCCAACATAGCATGTTTACTATGTTTGGGGGCTACTATTGCCTTGCAATAGGCTTTTGCAAGTTCACTGCTCAGAGTGAATGTGCCAATTACTGCCGAGTTAACGCGGTGGCAGCATTTGCTCTACTTGCCGATGTTTCAAAACAAGAAACGTGTGATTTAAACCACTGGACTGGATTGCGTTACTCGCATAATTTAAACACGTGTTTGGTCTTGTGCTGTGCTGCTGGTGCGTGACCGAGAGCTGCCGTGGGCGGTGTCGTGGGCTCGCACAGTGGACCTGCAATCCAGAGGCCACCCGTTGATTTCCATCTCCCGGCGCGGCAGTTGAAACAATGGGGCAAGTTGCTGAAGTCTCCCCCCAACACCCCTCCCCCTTATCCCACCGAGGCTACACTGGATGATATGAAAATAAAAACAGCGTGCAGTGGAAATTGGTGGAGACCCACTGCGGGTTCGTTGTTTTCTCCCACGTTAACATGAGCTGCCCCACCCATGCTGCCGACACACTTGGGCTACGCACATCTCTAAACCTTTATAAACAGTTTGCCTTTAGAGACTAACCCCCCTTTTCCTGATGACGACCGCTTGTGTTGCGATTGAAACGTCGAGGTTTTTTTTATTCTGTATTATTTTTATTCACTTTATTTTTTTGTATAATGTTTGTACCTACGTGACTTTCCCGAAAGAACAACAGAATATCGCATGCAGTGAGTAGTGTTATGCTGCCACCAAGTGGCCATGGATGACATTTGTATTCACTGAAGGTCCTCCTGTTTTTTGAGATGAGATATACATATTGGTAGAAATAAGAAAATATGAAAGTGAAATGTACAATTATGTAGATTAACATCTTCATATGAAAATACGCAAAAAATATTTTTTTAACGAGGCAAGGTTTAACTATTCAACTACTATACATAAAAAAAACGTTGCAGATTTGACCATGTTGTAATTTGTAAGCACAGAAATAAAAACAAGACACGTGAAAAAGTTTATATTCTGTATGACAGAGGTTAGATGTTTATTTGGTTTTAAATATATGTAAAGTACACTTATACATTTTTTTTATTTTACGAGACAAATGCACATACTTTCCAAGTTATATCAATCATGCCCCTTAATTCCACGTTAAAACATGTAACCAACAACCGTACACACATTTGCTGCCAAAGTGTAGAAGTAATGCACAGCCCAACTCCCAGGACGGCATTCTCCGCCGCATTCGTCCCATCCCACGATACGCCCACTTTCAAACGATTTATCGTAAGAAATGCTGCATGCCCGTACACACATAATCTGGCAGAGCTTTCAAGTGCTCGGCCAATGCAATCTCTCGCATCACTGTTGAGCTCTTGGCCAATCATGGATTTATTTCGCAGCACTTGGTCAATGCACTGTTGGATGGTCTCCCCCACCACGCAGCGTCGGCCATGGAGGTTATCTGAACGTAACATGCTGGTCAGTGAAAGTTGCAGGGCTGTACTAGAGACCGGTTTAGTGATCACTCGCCACCGATCGTGGCTGAAAATCGAACTCGGGTCACCAGATTCCGAGCGCAGAGCGCCGACCATGGGGCCACTGCTTCACACCACGTGGACTTTATTCACAACCGAATCATATATTCACCACACCCAGCGACCAAGAAAAACTAATTCTTGCAAAATAATGGACTTATTTTCAAGCAGACAAGGTAGAGCGCACAGATTAAAGACCGCAATGTTGTGGAGTGCGGCCAAGCAACAGTCGCGTCAGATCTGGCCCCAGTGCTCAGCGCGGCCGCTGGCTCTGCTCGGTCCTGATTCACTGCGCTTCCTTCGATTGTAACCTGCAGCACCTGCGTATCGCGAATGCAGCTGCCGTGCGGATTGTGATCGTAAACGTTCTCGGCTAATGGCATTGGAAAGTTGACAATTTTAAATAAAGAACAATGACAGCATCTCTTCGGCCGTTCAAGGGCAAGAGGCGCTCCACATCCGAAACGAACTTCAGTGCCACGTGCACTCGCTCTCTTGTGTTGTGCAAATGCCACGAGCTACCAAACCATTACGCCATGCTAAAACTCAGTTTAATTACGCCAAATGCTAACAAGCCGCTAACCCTTGCATTGTACACATACTGCAGCTAATTTTGCAAATAGTATTACATATGCGAGTTGTCTCCATGATAAAGACTTTGCAATGAAGACCAAAACACTAGTTAAGGTACAAGAATGTTTAAAATTAGATTAAATTTTTCTAGATTGGGCTAGGACTGACATAAAATGGACTATTCTATCAAAATGTCACAGGGTCTTCAATATAATTTTCAGACAATGAATAGTTGTATCCAATGTTCATACGACAGTACTATATTACTAATAGCCTATAAAAATACTAAACACCTGTGGCCATTCAAAAACCCTGTGCAAAAACACCAAAAAGTGTGCTTACTTCTTGGCAACACAGCAGTTTAGCTTTTTAATTTACCTTTATTGGAAAGGCACGTTTGTAATAATGGTAAATTAAAATTAAACATGCATCAAGTGCCAATTGTGAGGTACAAATAATTTCCTCAAAAGGTAAATTACCTTAGAAAGATCTTTTTTTATAAATATAAACCTGAAAACTGCAGGCATTTTCATTTTAAGCCGGCACCCAGAAACGTTCCACACCAAGAGTTCATCTGCTGCTAGTCACGACAATGGAACAAAAGCTGACAAGTGGACAAAGAAGCATGGAGAGAGATGCATGCTTAGAAAATGCAAAACAGAAAGATACGGATTAGATCACGCACAAGTTATGGACGTAATTTTGACCGTTAAATAAGTGAGCGTGCTTGAGCAGGACACGTCATGGCGATAAAGGGATAACGACGATGATGGCCACAGGCTGAGACTTACAACGGGAGAGATAATAAAATAATAATAAAACAATTAAAGTCTCACGTTTCGATTGCAACACAAGCAGTCATCACATTTTCTTGCTGTGGTTTTCACACCTGATGATTGCTTGTGTTGCAATCGAAACGTCGTGAGAATTTTATTGTTTTATTTTTTCCCTTCTATGTGACTTTACCGAAAGAACCAAGAATATGAATCCCTGCAGTCACGAAATCTTTAAATCGAACCGGGAAGATGGCTGAAGGAGCAAAAGTGCCCAAGTGGACAACCTCCATTTGTAGAGATAAATCAATGTAAGCAGCTTGTGGGCAGGCACGCGATGGATGTTGTATCGCGTGACGGTGTGAAACGCCAATAGCTTGGAGAGGCCTTCCATCCAGCAGTTAGCAAATCCCAGCTGATGATGGCGCACACTGTCGGTCTCTACAAACAATGTCCAATTGGTGTAACCAGGGATGTGCCCCTCGATTTCTGGAACAACATTTACTGCAGCAAGCCCTGAGCTGACGAGAGGTGCCGCCGTCCAAACCCTGAGATGGAAACGAGAGCGCTGCCGAACGCTCGGACAAGCGACAGCAGCTCAAAATAAGCCATCATCGGCATTGCCCAAATCTTGGACAAAGAAGCTCAGGTTTCCTCCTATTTCAGGATACAACCTCGAGCAACGCGTTACTAAAAAAAAAAAACACATAACGTGGCATGGGGCAGTTCAGTTTACAAAGAGCGTTTATCAAATGTTACGTCAACGCTCTGAAGAGTACACAGAAAGATAAATCATGCCGCACTTCTTAAGTAATGGAGAATTACCGCTGCACTGCCCTAACTCAATGCTAGATTTAGACAAGTCACCCAATATTGTGCGAGATGGTTTAAGAATCGAATGAAAAATAAGTCAAGTTGCTCTCCAGATGTGCATCCTTCAACAGTCCAACAGCAGCTGCTCCCTGCGGGGTCGTTAATCAGCACAGGCTACAGTTGTTGTCTCGTGAAGATCTTCCCGCTGCCTGAAACACACGCGCGCACACACACACACCACATCGGTTATTACCCCGTGAAATCATTGCTACGACTACGGGTGGAATGACTCGTCCACACGATTGAAGACCACAATTAGATTCAAGAATTGACATTGCAGTTAATGTTGTGACCTCTAATGGCTGCAGGATCACGTGAACCCATTACTTACAAAACGCACATGCATGTAAAAAGCATTCATTATGATACATGCGATTTGACGCTTGAATCATGAGCTTAATAAATTATATTCTTTGATTAATTGGTGGATCATTACACTCGTAACTGCCACCTACTATTATCAATCTGTGGAATTACCGTTTCAGATCACCGGTACAAATTTGCCGTGTTGCAGCCTGGTTGTGCAACAGACTCAATGACTATTTATCTAACAAAGTAGAGAAACAGACAAAGTCACCTTAACACACAAGTCCTGCCAAATAAATGTAAAGTATTTTTTCCACATCCCATCAGCCACACAGTCTTCAGGGAGTGTATAATTTCAGCAGCATTGCTTCAACCCAAGAAAATGCTGGGACAGCTTTGACTGACTCATCAGGAGTCGGGCTGTCTTGAACCATGTTTCGCGAGCCTCTTGGCATGCAATGTTTCGGGTGCCACTTTATTCGATGCACGTGGATGTAAAATCCCATTTTAAAAGACAAATTAATACAATCGGCACGTGCCTACTAGTCAGCCTGCCAGTTGGTGACTTGCCCAAGCAACGGTTTTCTGACCAACAGTTGTGCACAACATGAAGACACATCCATCGCAGGTTGGGTCGCACCTGTTGCCGCTGCTGCTGCTCCAGCTCCTGTTGCTGGCGGCTGGCTTGCAGAGCGCGAGCCAATTCATCATCCTCGCTGAATTGGGAAGAAAATAAAATTATGCGAAGGGAGCAAGCCAGTTTGTGAAAATTCAACAAATCACTTGGTTATACTGCATTGGCAGTTGTGCACACGTATATACGTGTTATGATGAATGGCTACTGCTCAAAAATCACATTTTATATATGTATATTTTTTCCATTTGAAAGCAGTGTGACAAATGTATTGATTTTCGGTACGATAAAAAAAGCCTTTCATACATTTAAAATGCTCTGAACATTACAAGCCAAATAAAACCACCATAACACGCCTCACCTGTGTGGAGGGGCTGGTGTATTCTCTGCCAGTGACATTTGTAAAGCCAACTGCAGGGCTTCCTCTTCGGTCTACATAAGAACCACACAACATGGGTACACACATCAATACTCATTTATTTTATCAGACAGCATCCGAGAGGATGACCATCACAGATATGCAACAAAGTGCCGAGCTCATGTGTAAGGTGGATTGTTGCATAACAGGAAACGGGGAGTGGCAACGGTTGATAGAACATGGCTGATGAGAATGATTGTTTACTGTACTCACCAGTCCAGCTTGTAGGCTTGCTTGTGCTGTGGCAGCAGGCAGTGTAGCTCTGTCCCTGTGGTACACAGATTACCCACATAGGCATCTTCAGTAAGTGGGTGGTTTTGTGCGATGGGTGTTGCTCTCTACGTACGTGTCGCTGGTACTGTGCAATGCGTGTGTACGGGTACACGTACCTCGCAGGGCCTCGGTTTGGGATGCCAGCATGCACGGCGGGCTGGCTGGCATGCAAGGGCGGCTGGCTGGCGTGTGTGGTGGGTTGGCTGGTGTGCGTTCTCCCTGGCGTAGGAGTTGCTTTGCTCGAGGCAGATTTGCGTTGACTCGAGCCGGCCCTGATAACGGCTGCCGTACTGCATGCAAAAAAAAACACGCTCGATCACACTTGCAAATATTTTCACGTGGATTGTTTGGAGAGGTGTAGTCCTTTGCAGCAACATCCTGCTCCACCGATTTGCAAGGCTTACCCAGCGCGGGATAGGCCTGCCTGGCCGTGCTATGCACTCGTGGTCGGCTGGGTGCCGGTGCTTCAGACAGAAGTTATTCTGACAGGAGTCGCACACCACCTTCACCAGCTCCTTCTGTTCGCAGCCCTTTTGCGAGCACCGGTTGGTGTAGATCTGAAAATAAACATAAGCAACGCTGACATTGACCCATTTGGTGGCCTTTCTTCAAAGAGCGGGGATGATTAGTCAATTAAAAAGTCCGATTAACTAAAAGATGTAATCTACGGTTTTGTTGCAAATTACTCGCATTTAAATATTTGGCGCCTCGTGGAGTCACATCTGTATAAATAAGTGGTTATCCAAATTAAAGGAGTTTACAAACCCCAGACAGCCGGAGATGGCATGGTTGCTCACCTTGGTGGTTCGCGTTGACTGGCACTCCTGGTCCATGTGCTGCCCCACCCTCACATCGGGAGTCTCTCCCCTCCCCACCGGGACGGGTTTGTTACACAACGGGCACACAGGCACTTGTACATCCTGTCAAGACAACACACACACACACAGCGTTTTGAGGAAACCTCCATGTACCAACAGCATGGTCTAGTGGCCGATTTTCTATCTGTGGGGCACCCTGCACATAAGAATCTGTGGCCTCAGACTTCACATTAATCCTTGCCACCTAAATCACGAGGAGCCAACATTAGTGAACAATAGTGCAAGAGACTAATTATATGGAATTCTGGGCATTGTCATGATGATGACGACATCACCACGTGACATCAATTGTGTTCCATGGTTCCGCACAACCTTAGCCGCGCATCTTACAATACATTTCAGAGATTTATCAACAGCTGGAATAGGTTTTTTTTTGCCAATTTGATGACATTCGTTGTTTACACACGTAACAGGGAAGACCGCGAGAAGGTTGTCATCTTCTTCCCCAGCAGCAAAGCCAGGATGTTAGGGTACACACTTAAAATGCCACGTCTCACCATCAAAGTGGATGACAGTTCTATAGCCTTCATTCTCAAGGCCTGGACAAGTACCGTTTGGGGATTCTAACCTTGCGGTAAGCAGAGGCACAGCGATGGTGGGAGTAGGAGAAGTGGTCCTTGCAGAAGATGAGCTCGCAGGCATCACAGCGCATCGGCAGGAAGTCTGCAGCACAAAACAGGATACACAGAACCACCGTTAACACCGTATCCTTTAGGGACCCCACAACATTAAGATGCAAATCGATAACACTGTTCAGGCGCACCAAACAATTGGCCGCGAACAACGGAGCAGGCAGCCCTTCGGAGCGCCGTGTGCGTTACTGAAATTGAATCGATTGACCGAATCTTGCTGAAAAAAAAAAAAATCTCGAAACTTAACACATTTGACAGACCCAGAAATGGCAACGTGGTTAATGGGAAACAACTCATACGACTTAAATTGCCAATACTGTGTGTGCTAATGTCCTGGAGCCTCAGCACACACTCACACGTACACTTGACAACACACGTTACTTATATACGCCACGCAATCTACAGCTTCACAGCTGCGAGGCCTAAGCTGGCGTATTATTTGTCAGTGTTAATATTTGCACATATCGAATTGCTTTCACATTAATCAAGCGCAGCCGAAACTGCAGTCGGTAAAGTGGGTTAGGACCAGGATCATTCAAAATCATAAACAAGATCGCCCTGTGCGGCGAACACAACGAACCGAACAAGAATAAGCCACGTCAGCCCGAAACATCACTCCGTCAACCCGCCCCCTTTAACCTCGCACACACAGTGGCGATCCCGTCCACAGCGACGGGCACGACCGACTTCGTGAACCCCTGACGGACATCAGCGGGTGGAGTTGGACCGGCCTGGCCGGAGGCATTGACTGCCCTGTGTAATGCGGGTGTAAACGGCCCTCCGGAGGTGCCGTCATGAGGGGAGGAGTTAGGTCACGTGGGGGGGAGAGGGGTTGAGTATAGAAGGAGGGGAACCGGAAGAGGATAGGGAGTGACGGGGAACCAGGAACAGAGAGAGGCCACGAAGGGCGAAGCGGAGGGTGGCGAGATCGCCACGAACACGGGGGAGCGAGGATCGGCACCGTTGGCCAGCGGTGACCGACCCGAAGCAGCGAGGAGGCTGCAGTCAGCAGCGGGGCTGCACAGAGAGTCAGCAGCGGGGCTGCATACAGAGTCAGCAGCGGGTCTGCATACGGTAGCAGCCAGAGGGTCTGCACAAAGGGGTAGCAGCGGGAGTCTGCATAGAGGTAGCAGCGAGTCTGCAGGGAGGAGGTTACAGTAGATGAAGCAGAGAGTCAGAGGGAAGAAGAAGCTATAATAGCAGTGAATAGCCGGGGGCTACAAATACAGAGTTATAACAGAGTGCCGTGTGGGTGAAGACGAGAACCCAATAAAAGACACGAAGACAGAAGGAAGTGTCCGAGTCCTTTTATTACACCTGTACCTAAGACAAGTCTCTAATCGTGTCTCCCCGAGCAGCGTCTCCCTCTCGTCCGAGTGTCACACAGACACTCATTCTCGTGTCCCCTCCCCCCTCTCGTCCTGGTGTCTCACAGAGACAATCCTCCCCGTGTCCTCTCCCCCCTCTCGTCCTGGTGTCTCACAGAGACAATCCTCCCCGTGTCATCTCCCCCCTCTTGTCCTGGTGTGTACATAGAGACAATCCTCCCCGTGTCCTCTCCCCCCTCTTCGCCTGGTGTGTGACAGAGACAATCCTCCCCATGTCCTCTCCCCCCTCTTCGCCTGGTGTGTCACAGAGACAATCCTCCCCGTGTCCTCTCCCCCCTCTCGTCCTGGTGTGTCACAGAGACAATCCTCCCCGTGTCCTCTCCCCCCTCTTCGCCTGGTGTGTCACAGAGACAATCCTCCCCGTGTCCTCTACCCCCTCTTCGCCTGGTGTGTCACAGAGACAATCCTTCCCGTGTCCTCTCCCCCCTCTCGTCCTGGTATCTCACAGAGACAATCCTCCCCGTGTCCTCTCCCCCCTCTCGTCCTGGTGTCTCACAGAGACAATCCTCCCCGTGTCCTCTCCTCCCTCTCGTCCTGGTGTGTACACAGAGACAATCCTTCCCGTGTCCTCTCCCCCCTCTCGTCCTGGTGTCTCACAGAGACAATCCTCCCCGTGTCCTCTCCCCCCTCTCGTCCTGGTATCTCACAGAGACAATCCTCCCCGTGTCCTCTCCCCCTCTCGTCCTGGTGTCTCACAGAGACAATCCTCCCCGTGTCCTCTCCTCCCTCTCGTCCTGGTGTGTACACAGAGACAATCCTTCCCGTGTCCTCTCCCCCCTCTCGTCCTGGTGTGTACACAGAGACAATCCTTCCCGTGTCCTCTCCCCCCTCTCGTCCTGGTGTCTCACAGAGACAATCCTCCCCGTGTCCTCTCCCCCCTCTCGTCCTGGTGTCTCACAGAGACAATCCTCCCCGTGTCCTCTCCTCCCTCTCGTCCTGGTGTGTACATAGAGACAATCCTCCCCGTGTCCTCTCCTCCCTCTCGTCCTGGTGTGTACATAGAGACAATCCTTCCCGTGTCCTCTCCCCCCTCTCGTCCTGGTGTCTCACAGAGACAATCCTCCCCGTGCCCTCTCCTCCCTCTCGTCCTGGTGTGTACATAGAGACAATCCTTCCCGTGTCCTCTCCCCCCTCTCGTCCTGGTGTCTCACAGAGACAATCCTCCCCGTGTCCTCTCCCCCCTCTCGTCCTGGTGTCTCACAGAGACAATCCTCCCCGTGTCCTCTCCCCCCTCTCGTCCTGGTGTGTCACAGAGACAATCCTCCCCGTGTCCTCTCCTCCCTCTCGTCCTGGTGTGTACATAGAGACAATCCTCCCCGTGTCCTCTCCCCTCTCGTCCTGGTGTGTCACAGAGACAATCCTTCCCGTGTCCTCTCCCCCCTCTCGTCCTGGTGTCTCACAGAGACAATCCTTCCCGTGTCCTCTCCCCCCCCCCTCTCGTCCTGGTGTGTACATAGAGACAATCCTCCCGTGTCCTCTCCCCCCTCGTCGCCTGGTGTGTACATAGAGACAATCCTCCCCGTGTCCTCTCCTCCCTCTCGTCCTGGTATCTCACAGAGACAATCCTCCCCGTGTCCTCTCCCCCCTCTCGTCCTGGTGTCTCACAGAGACAATCCTCCCCGTGTCCTCTCCTCCCTCTCGTCCTGGTGTGTACACAGAGACAATCCTTCCCGTGTCCTCTCCCCCCTCTCGTCCTGGTGTCTCACAGAGACAATCCTCCCCGTGTCCTCTCCCCCCTCTCGTCCTGGTATCTCACAGAGACAATCCTCCCCGTGTCCTCTCCCCCCTCTCGTCCTGGTGTCTCACAGAGACAATCCTCCCCGTGTCCTCTCCTCCCTCTCGTCCTGGTGTGTACACAGAGACAATCCTTCCCGTGTCCTCTCCCCCCTCTCGTCCTGGTGTCTCACAGAGACAATCCTCCCCGTGTCCTCTCCCCCCTCTCGTCCTGGTGTCTCACAGAGACAATCCTCCCCGTGTCCTCTCCTCCCTCTCGTCCTGGTGTGTACACAGAGACAATCCTTCCCGTGTCCTCTCCCCCCTCTCGTCCTGGTGTCTCACAGAGACAATCCTCCCCGTGTCCTCTCCCCCCTCTCGTCCTGGTGTCTCACAGAGACAATCCTCCCCGTGTCCTCTCCTCCCTCTCGTCCTGGTGTGTACATAGAGACAATCCTCCCCGTGTCCTCTCCTCCCTCTCGTCCTGGTGTGTACATAGAGACAATCCTTCCCGTGTCCTCTCCCCCCTCTCGTCCTGGTGTCTCACAGAGACAATCCTCCCCGTGCCCTCTCCTCCCTCTCGTCCTGGTGTGTACATAGAGACAATCCTTCCCGTGTCCTCTCCCCCCTCTCGTCCTGGTGTCTCACAGAGACAATCCTCCCCGTGTCCTCTCCCCCCTCTCGTCCTGGTGTCTCACAGAGACAATCCTCCCCGTGTCCTCTCCCCCCTCTCGTCCTGGTGTGTCACAGAGACAATCCTCCCCGTGTCCTCTCCTCCCTCTCGTCCTGGTGTGTACATAGAGACAATCCTCCCCGTGTCCTCTCCCCTCTCGTCCTGGTGTGTCACAGAGACAATCCTTCCCGTGTCCTCTCCCCCCTCTCGTCCTGGTGTCTCACAGAGACAATCCTTCCCGTGTCCTCTCCCCCCCCCCCCTCTCGTCCTGGTGTGTACATAGAGACAATCCTCCCGTGTCCTCTCCCCCCTCGTCGCCTGGTGTGTACATAGAGACAATCCTCCCCGTGTCCTCTCCTCCCTCTCGTCCTGGTGTGTCACACAGAGACAATCCTCCCCGTGTCCTCTCCCCCCTCTCGTCCTGGTGTCTCACAGAGACAATCGTCCCCGTGTCCTCTCCTCCCTCTCGTCCTGGTGTGTACACAGAGACAATCCTTCCCGTGTCCTCTCCCCCCTCTCGTCCTGGTGTCTCACAGAGACAATCCTCCCCGTGTCCTCTCCCCCCTCTCGTCCTGGTGTCTCACAGAGACAATCCTCCCCGTGTCCTCTCCTCCCTCTCGTCCTGGTGTGTACATAGAGACAATCCTCCCCGTGTCCTCTCCCCCCTCTTCGCCTGGTGTCTCACAGAGACAATCCTCCCCGTGTCCTCTCCTCCCTCTCGTCCTGGTGTGTACATAGAGACAATCCTTCCCGTGTCCTCTCCCCCCTCTCGTCCTGGTGTCTCACAGAGACAATCCTCCCCGTGTCCTCTCCGCCCTCTCGTCCTGGTGTGTACATAGAGACAATCCTTCCCGTGTCCTCTCCTCCCTCTCGTCCTGGTGTGTACATAGAGACAATCCTCCCCGTGCCCTCTCCTCCCTCTCGTCCTGGTGTCTCACAGAGACAATCCTCCCCGTGTCCTCTCCCCCCTCTCGTCCTGGTGTGTCACAGAGACAATCCTCCCCGTGTCCTCTCCTCCCTCTCTTACAAAAAAAACACACATCCGCTCGGTCCCCAGACCCCCAACCCATCTTTTATGACGCGACAGCTGGTTTCACAAAAGCTATCGAAATTAAATTGTTTTTCCTTTTAACGTGAACTGTATGGGATAACAACCTCCACTCGGGGAGTTCTAATTTGCCCAAACAATGCCCCGTCACTCTAGGCCCGAGCCTCGGTCTCGCCTAGCGGGTCCCGCCGACAAAAGCTTCGCCCACCGCGGGCCCACCTCGGGCGCACCGCAGGCCACTGCGGGCCCACCGCGGGCCACCGCCGCCGCGCCCCGCTCACCGAGACGCTTGCAGGCCGCTTCCATGCAGTGCTTCCCCAGGTCGGGCAGCTCCATGGCGCCTCTCCGTCGTGCCCGTCGACGTCCGAGCGCTACAAACAAAACCACCGACGATGGCTTCACGACGCCAGCCGCTTCACTTTATAGCGGCGGGGGCGAAGCGGTGGGGGGGGGGCCGGACGTGACGTAGCCTATCGTGACTCATCGATTACACAATTCTAATCACTGCCCCGTATAACGGCGTCGGAGGCTTTCGCGATCGATATGAATCCATGATCGAGATTGTTTTTGTTGGGTTAGGTCGCTTAAATATAAATGCATCGTTAAACCCGCCACCACCCGACACAGACAATTAGGAAGGTTGTGTCACGTAAACAGAACCTGCACCAGCGGTGTGTTTGGAGAGTTCATCCACAGCGCTCCGATTGTAAATGTTGTGGATTTACTCTTATTTATATTCCACACAACGACGCGAATGATTATTCCGTGTTGTGCATTGCATCGCTCTGCATCGAACTGTGGACCCACAGAAGGTCCTTGCCTATGAACATCTGGCGGTGACGGAACTTCGACTGAATCAAAGCTGCTGAAATCGTGTAAATATTCAATACGATATTAAACATGTACACGGCAGAGGCACTATAGCGAGGCGAAACCGTGAACATCTATATTTTACTCGAATTTATCTTATAATAAATAATTATCATTTTAAATTTTTATTGAATTGAGAAATCGTGACACGCGGCGTTACGAGCCGGTCGAGAAGCTGCGGGGGGTGACGTCACGAGACGTGACGCGGCACTTTTAGAGTTTCACGCGGCGACGGGAATGTTCCGGAATTGTGACGTCACCGCGTGTCCTCACTGATTTCATCCACGTGGGCGACGGGACGAGATTTACATTGAAAGAGCGCCCAAATACCGGATTAATTATAATTAGACTCTCCGAAAAATATATATAAGACGCACCTCAAACGTGTGTTCGGTTTCTATGAAGTTATACTCAATTGGACACATCTTAGCTCTGACACACACATAATAATACGCACCCAATCTCGTTGAATACTGATCTGGCCACGCACACCTACCGGATTATAAGACGCACCCCCAACTTTTGATTTGAAATACAATGAGAAATAGCGCGTCTTACAATTGGGAGAATCCGGCATAACTTGTGGTATAGAGTCCCACCAAGCAGCGTTGTTATGATATTGGGGTTCAGGCAGAGACTTAAAAGTGTGGGGTTGGGTGTGGCAGCAGCAGTCCTATCTAGCACTGGTGATGAATGAGTCACTGATGTTTATCAACGTATAGATGAAGCGCCAGATACAACACACCGTCACATTTCAAATATCGCGTGTTTGAATGGCAAATTCCAGAATCGTGTATTTTTAATCACTGTCTACAACTCTGTAACAATAGGTGCGTCGGGTCGTATCAGAGCGCTTTAAATCACAGTTAATCTCAAACATTTGAAAGGGCACTCACAGCCGGAGCCGTCACTGTCGAGGTGACTCAGCATGTGGCCTGCAACGCAGGCATTCGTCTATGGGTGATCCCAATGCAGAGCCTTGATTCTGAATGAAGGCTTCTCCTTTTAAGCGATACTGCGATCTGATCATGCATCGAGCACCTGCACACGAGCTGAATTCATCCCTCCCTCGGCTGCCACTCTGTCGTTCGTGTGAACCGTCGGACATCATCCCTTCCAGCCATAACGTGTCCTGACCATGGCTCACTTTTCTTAAGTCAGAAGTATGTCTTGAATCAGTGATTGATCTATAATCCATGCACTTTTTTTCTCTCGTAACAAATGTCGTAGCATTATTTGTGCTAGAAATTTTTACTTAAAATTTTCGTGACTGCAGGAATTAATATTCTATGTTTTTTTTGGTAAAGTCACGTAGATAGAAAAAAGAATAACAATAAAATAATAAAAACAGCCTGCCTCAACAGCTTTTCTGATGACGATTGCTTGTGTTGCGATCGAAACGTCGTGATATTTTTCTTATTTTTTGTCACTTTATTTTCATTTTTATGTTTATTATTTTATAAAAAAAAATTCTAACAACGTGACTTTACCGAAAGAACCATGGAATATTATTTGTGCTATGAAGGGATATTACCTGGAACGTCGCCTGTTATGTTTTTCTTTTGAGGCCACGGTGCTATTGACAAATGTGTTATACAGCAGGATAAAGTATTTGTGTGTAGCACCATTGCCCAAGGTGTGAGAGAGCCCCTCCTTGTGTTTTGTAACAGGTATTGGGCCTTTAAACGCAGCAGCGTGTGTGGTGCGCCTATAACAGCGGACGAAGATAAAAAAAAACTATAGAACAAAGAGGTGGACGTGAGCGGGTTGGAGTGCATTCGAACTTAACAATGAAAAATATCATAGCAATGTGCGGAAAGTTTTCAATCACTGTTACCCCTACCTCGATATAACATAGTGACAAAACACGGTCATTACAGAAAAAAATAAAAGCAGACCTGAAAATTGTGCAAAGACGCATGGAGAGACAGATGTTTGGAATTGAGAAACATAATTGAGACAGAGGAATACGATGGATTATATAGATGTACAGATTAGTGGTATCAATCATCTCTACAAGTGGACTTGGGCAGGACACTTCGTTAGATGGGGTGACGATGGCTAACCACGATTAGAGTGGCAGCCAAAGAATGGAACGTGTCCAAGATATCGTCCACCAATGAGACGGAGCCATCAAATCAGTTCGTGGACAGATTTTAGATGGATTGTTGCAATGGCAAGACCATGGGAGTTGGCAGAGGCTTGAGGAGGCCTTCATCCAGAAGTGGATTGAACATGGCTGATGGTGATGATTGGAGTCTAATACTCCATTGGAGCCTAATACTCCATTGGAGCCTAATGCTCGAATGCTCCAATCATCAAGAGGGGCACTGTGGTGGGATTTCAGTGATGAACATCATCGCGTGACGTCGCCATCAAGATGAGGTCAGTGGATGTGATGACTATACAAATAATAAGACCCCTGCTGTGGCTGGAAATCCCCGTGAATTGTCAGTTGTAGCTTTAATTTGCACGATTCTAAGTGCAGAAACATATTGTGTTATTACAATTATTCCTACAAGTTTATTTACAGCGCCATATGCCCTATGAAAACACGAAGCTTCTTCATCTTGGTTCTTTCGGTAAAGTCACGTAGAAGGGAAGTAATAAAATAATAAAAATAAACATAATAAAATAAATTTTTTTTATTATGTTTTATTTTTATTATTTTATTATTTCCCTTCTACGTGACTTTACCGAAAGAACCAAGATGATGAATCCCTGCAGTCACGAAAGCTTTAAATCGAAACGAAGCTTCTTGTATTAAACTGTACATGTTTTCCTTTTAATCCTGCCGTCCCTTGAAGTATGTATGAAAGGGTCTTGCGTGATCGAATAAATACACTTAAGTGTGGTGTTTTTCTGTGTATATAAAATTACAATCAAGATAATTACACCTGCTGAACTGGTTTGCAGCAAACACATGCAGGTTTGTGTGCGTGTCACTGTGGGCTCCTTGGGAATGCGTGCAAGTACACGATGTACCTCTTGTACGAGCCAGGAAACACATAACTCGTAGGAACCTTACAAACATCCATTACACTATTAGTCCGATAGTTGATTCCACTTATCCACAGGGAATTTTCAGTTATTCGCTGATAATCAAAAATATAGAGCCGCTAATAATGATGTTCCCAGACCCAATAGTTCCCAAGGATAATGAGTCACCAGTGAAGGGGTAACACACACAAGATAAATGCTGTAGTAATTATGTGGCACTGAGGAATCTTGATCAAATGTTGGGTCGAAGTCGCAGCCAGGATCGACTGTGCTATATTAGCAGCCCTCCTCGGCCAGGAACCATTTGCAGGCGATTAAAAGCCATTGGCGCAGCGTTAGGCCTGCACCACCTGCCAAAACATAGGGTCGGGCAGCCAACAGCCCCAAGTCCCCCCACCCCTCCCCCCCCCATGCTGCAACAGCCCTGGCCACTTGGTGATGCTGCACTAATTGGGACGAAAACATTGAATTTGTTCGTCGCAATTAGGGACACCGCGGTGGCGAGATGTTAACTACATCGCCTATGCCAGATGGACGTGAGTTCGATCCCGACCCTGAAGATGCCTGTATATTGTATGTCTCTCGCCAGGATTTTTCTCCGGGTCCTCGGTTTTTCCCTCAATGTTTAGAAACATGCGATTAAAGTATTGTTTGCTGCTATAAATTTCCACGTGATAAGCCACTTCTTTGAGCTACCATGTGTGACCAGGTAACTTCTGAAAAAGAGCAATACAGCTCCGTGGGCTGTACCTGGTGAAATAAAAAGTTTAGTTCATAGTTAAGAATGTCGTTGATTGGCAGACCCCACCACCAGCCGAACGGCGTCTCAGAGCGCTGTACATCGCATCTCACGTCAAACATTCCAAAGGGTAGGCGCACTGGCAGCGGGCCCCGTGGGCACAAGCTGACGCACCACCCAGCCTGAAATCGGCCTTCGTTTGCCAGTCGGGGGCAATGCCTGCGGTGTAATCCCAATTGAGAGCCATGGCCAATATCGTGCTGAATGAAGATATCCCACGGTCCTGCGATCTAACAATGCACCCGCACGAGCCGAACTCACAGCTCCATCTCCGCAGTGTACATTCTCTCTGGATTTCCATACATTGGCTGTCATTCTGCCATTAGTCTAAACCACCGGCTGTTTTCCCTCCGAGCTACTTATCCCGCCCAAGACTACTTAACAGTCTAAATGTCTCTTAATTTCTTCTGTAATTGGAATTATCACCACTGCAGGCTCACACCAGTCCAGTGCTGAAAGTAGTGTTTACACAGTGTATTTAACATTATTCAAAAATAGGCGTTTACACTAGTGTATACTACAAACCTTTTTTTCAAATCCCCGTGTTTAAAAACACGGACAAAACATGTATAAAAAACGGATGGACGTTATCAAATGTAATTATGTAAGTCTTGTACGCACCGCATTTGCCAGAGCCGTTTGTGACGGCTCAACCCGAGACCAGTGAGAGCGAGCCTCCGGCCTCGCTGCGGAGGAGAGAATGGATCGCCGGCCACCCCACAAGCGGACTTGCCCAGCCCGGCTTTGCGGTTATACTTAGACCGATGACAACGCTACGAAGGTTGTTAAATCCTTAAACTGTAACTTGTGTGGATCTCCCGAAGGCAATACACAGCCATGCGTGAACGTTAAACCCCGAGCATCATTTCATTCTAGGTCCACATTAACAAATCGCCCTTATACATCATTTGCTTTCGTCCGTTGTTCCGTGTAACCCATGAAGTCCTAAGTTTGGATTGTATCTTCCGGTTGTTGCCTTCAGGGCACCCATATTCCCCAATTATTTCTGCCACTCGAACTCACCCGAGTTGTGTGAAACTTCCGTGGGCTCCAAGCATGCAGGGCATGCCAGAGGTGTTGTTCTAATCTTAAAAGTGATAAACGTATCGCGCATTGTGAAAGCAGCTCCCACCTTTGACCCTCGATCAGCAAACATACCCATGTTCTGTGCACAGCAAATAATGGACAGGAGATACTTCAAAATTGAAAATTCTCTATTCGACAGAAACCCAGTTTTAGACCAAAAAGTAACGCAACCTGAAATAAAAAATGTATATGACAAATAAAAAAGCCTGGAGACTATATCGAATTACAAATAATGAAAGACATTCAGAAACACAAACACCATTAACCCATTGCAATGCATTCGCAAACCTGCGTTGACCGTTAACTCTTGTTATTACACGTGTGTTTACCCAGAAATCCCCAGCGAGTCACATGACTTTTTCAGGAGGGTTCTGACAAGTTTTTTTTTGCAGTCATAGGCAACGGTCGCTCTGTAGATTCCAATTGAGTAAATTATGGGTAATTTTTTTAAAATTGGAAAATGTGATTTTATGTCACGGGATCTCTAGCATCCACTGAGACGCAGACGGCACGTACTTTAAATGTATACCACACCACCAGTGTTAACCAGGGCGGCCACTAGTTTCCTCCCACCACCCGCAACGTGCAAAATGTGTTAACAAATGCGTGCAAACAGAACCTTAACCACACTTCATGGATGCAGCTTCCTTGACCCCAGGTTTAACCCGCAGGCTAACGTTTAATAATGGTGGAGACTAGAACAGCGATTCTAAACCCGTGAACCATCACAAGTGGTCTGCGGAGCTGTTGCAGATGCAATCTTTTTTTTTTCCAAACATGTACTTCTTTATGGTAGTGGACAGCGAACATTAGATGAGAGTTGAGAGTGGTCGACACATCTAGGAAGGTTTGGAACCACCAGGGCTAGATGTTCCGAGACGTCATCCCAGTAAATGTGGAACGTTGGGGCCAATGTTTATCAAACGGTTCGAACCAAATGCTAACGTTGGCCCAGCACTGCATATTTACTGGGATGGGCTGCTCGTCCACTTGGATGACTCGAACGAGGGAGACCCTTTAAATTCCGTTGACACCATCCAATAGGCTGGGAACGTTGCTTGCTGCAATGTTGGATGAAATGTTGGAACGTCTGTCAATTAATAAATTCTCACTTTCTGGGACTGAGAAATAATATCGATGATCAAAACGCAAACTTTTGTTTTACTAATCCCTGATTTGCATTTAACATGTTTGCAAATGAGTACAGTTATATCACGAGTCATTGTGTCCCAATCATGTACCAGTGTGCATGTTCCCTGAGGGCTAAGGTTTCAGCATGATTAGAGTATGTAAGAATCAAGGGATAAAATATCTCAAAGGTGACGATTTAGTGTTAAGTCGGCATTAGTGTTACAGGTTTGTCATTGGGAATGTAACAAGCTTAAGGGTTAGTGTTGAGGTTTAACGGTTAAGGGTTTTATTTAAGCCTAGGGGATAGTGTATACATTGGCTAGGTTTTTATCAGCGAGTAAAAAAAAAAGTTAAAGTCCACAACATGCATTGAAACGTCAACCCTGACGCAAGAGCACCCCACATTTAAACTCCATCTGGAAAAAAAAGAGAGAACTCGCTTCTGAGCCCGTGCAGACTTTTACGTTTCTGAGCATGAGATTATCCAGTGCATACGCGTTTACATACTCGAGCATTCGTGCGTGCGCGCACACGCACACACCGACGCACGCACACAGGCAGCACGACGCCGCGGAGGAGGAGGTACAGTGACAGTAGACGCGCCGTTCATGGCCGCTGAGAAAATGCCGTGTGTATATGTACAAGGAGCGATGGGGCACTGCCCGGCATGGGTAAGGGGGGGCGCGTGCAGGCCGCTTCTTAGGTGAGGTGGCGCTTCGCGTGCAGCGCCAAGTGGTCGGAGCGCGCAAACGTGCGGGCGCACGCGCGACAGGAGAAGGGGCGCGCGCCCGTGTGCTTGCGTGCGTGCCGAGTCAGCTCGTCGGAACGGGAAAATCTCCATGAGCAGCCCGTCCACGCGCACGCGTACGGTCTGTCCCCTTCACACACACACACACAACAGGTATCCCATGTATATAGGCTTCAAAGTACCACCGTGCCATGCACCAAAGACAAATATCCCCAATATATTAGCCTTTAATAAACTTGCTGGGTGCTATTAACAAGCGCCTATAAAGGCACTGCACACGAGGGGGTGGGTGGCCCATACCATGCCCAGAAGCCATTATCTCCCTTGTGGTGATGTTAACACATAGTACCAGGTACTCATTTGAGGCTGAGTCGACCTAGGGGAGACCCAGGTCTGGTTCAGATAATTGTCGCTGCTGCTGTATTCAACAGATATCAGGACATTAAGAAATAAATACATCAGAATGCGAGTTTAGTGTTGAATATAACAAAACAATTGCTTGAAAGAAACGAGCTACATGATGATATGTGAACATTTTAAGAATCAGGAGACTGACAACGCAATTGTTTAACAAACGTTGTTCATCTGTCTCTGATCTAATCCTCGTCCCCATTGCGCAATTTCAGCTTGTATCCTTTTCCCGTTCCTCTCCTTCTGCCGTCTTCTGTCCTCCCCTCTGCGCCCCTAACCATCGCGAGCTTTGCTTTATTTTTCTAGATCACAACCGTGGAATCCAGCAGAGTAAGTTTACGCGCTTAGATTTGCCACTATCCGTACACTTGGTCTTTGTACCGTTGTCGAAAAGTACGAATACGATATAGATTTTTTTCATCCACAGAGCATGCGAGTGAGCGTGCGTGCGAGTAAGCGTGCGTGCGAGTGAGCGTGCGAGTGAGCATGCGAGTGAGCGTGCGAGTGAGCGTGCGTGCGAGTGAGCGTGCGTGCGAGTGAGAGTGTGTGCGTGTGAGAGTGCGTGCAGTACCTGTGTGGCTGCGCACGTGTGCCTTCAGGTGCGAACTCTTGGTGTACGCTTTATTGCAACCTGCAAAGCGGCACAACGGTCATTGGCCTCATTAAAAAGCCACAACATTCACAATGAACACTTCTTACAATGACCGATGAAAAGTGCGAACATATGCAGGTGAAAAGACATTTTATTGACCGTGAATAAAAGTGGGCAGGAGACGTCGCTGGATGGGATGGTGGCTGACGGGTGGGGAATAACAATGGAGGCAGCCAAAGGATAGAACACTCCCCGGAGGTTGTCCCCCTTGGAGATGGAGCAACAGGTGGATTACAGCCCGGTCAACCCCTTATCAGTGGCTACCTTATTACAGACCAATTCAGACCTTATTGGTCACCCCGTGCCCTTATAAATCTCAACGTTCACCTTACAAAGTCCCATCACAAGAGACACACAATAACAAAAAAATGTTTTGCCCGTATTTAAACGGCTGTGCGTCGTATGGACCTGCAAACTAAATTTCCCTGGACAATATAATCCGGGGTAATCCGTACTATGGGTTGACAGGCATGGGATTATTACATCGTCGAACTGCGGAGAGGTGGCGATGGCTTGGGAGGGTCCCTCATCCAGCAGTGGATTGATCACGGCCGCTGATGACGACTACGAAAGTGACTTTGCAGCGCTCACCCTCGTGCGGACACGTGTGCACGCGCTTCCCCTCCTCCAGTTTCAAAGTCTCCTCGGCGCTCGGCCCCGCCTCCAGGGAGCCGCCCACCCCCGCCGCGGTCGCCGTGGCGATGCGCGACGACGTCGCTGCCGCCGCCGCCGCGGGCGGGACGTCGGGGCTGCCGCGCTCAGAGCTGGGGGGCGACGGGGGGAGGTAGGCGGCCGCCTCGGTCCATCTGCGTCCCGAACAAAACGGCACAATGTCGCCGTCTGCCCCGCCACTCGCGCGCGCCAGTTGGGGTCCGTTGCTCACGTAAATATTGTCCCGATGTGTTTTTTTTTGTGTTTAGCCGTTGAACACACCGAACTCTGTAAAGGTTACAGTCCAATAGTGCACAAGAGCCACAGAGCTGCACGTGAGCTGGCACGAGTCCCCTGTGCAGACCTCACGGTATGGGAACATGAGGCTATTTGGCACCATGATAACCAGAATTTAAATGCACATTGGCAAGCCTAGCCCTTTAAAAGTTAAAATGTCATCAAGTTCGGCCTCGCCGTATCAAAGAGAACAGAATGTCAACTGGCCCGCAGGCTGTTTGCCCCGTGACGGCCCTCGTAGTAGGGTGATGGGATATATGGCTCGCTGAAAGATAGAGATTCGTGAGACGAAAATGAGATACACGCAAGAGATGACAAACCTGAAGACAAGTGGTGCAGATTAGTCGTGACGTTCACAAATGTTATCACGTCACATATGAAGTCATAACATCTGTACACGTGACATTTTGTCATGCTGTCCATCAGCAAACGTTACATTTTTAGAAAGTGCCCCACTCGAAAATATAGTTCAAGAACCATGACATTTAACGTTCACAAATCTAGCCTATGGTGATGCTATTGAATTTTAACAAGGCCAGCCCTTTATCAAAGTGTGTTTTCATTCAAAGTATTTTTACAAAGATGGAATCATTTTCCTTGGCATCGCTCTTACATGAGAGCAACATCCAACCTATCACCAAATGACTCTGAATGTGTCTGATCTCATCAGACGTCTCATGTTAAGGAGCGTAAAGGCTGGCAAGTACTGGGACAGGTGCGTAGCCGGTGTTGTCGGTGTACTGCGATGAGGGCTGCGACTTGCCAGTGGATGGGAGTACTGTGGTGTAGGGATAGATTTGGTTCACTTGCTGGATTATGTCTCGTTGTAAATTGTAATGTCTGTAAGGACCTTTCAGTGTCATCCACTCTTGTGCATAAGATTTCTCCGGGTGAATTGGTTTCCTCCCCATTTAAGCTAAAAACTCACGAATGGAACATCCCAAAGAGAGGACCCCTCCTGAAAAACAATCGTAAGATGCTGAGGCTTCCCTGGATAAATAAAGGGCATGATTATCGTTCAACAGTTGTCAGAACAGGTGGTAGTATTTTATGCACTTGAATTTGTTCCCAGTGTTGGTGAACTCTGTGTGACCTATGTCAATTATAAATTGCATTTCTTTGTTGGTAATTAATTGGACATCAACAGTCATATCCACAAGAGTTATTCAAGCCTGGGAGGCCCTGCTGTTCCCAAATGTCAGCGTATTGTGCCGCTTCAGCCACTGCAAATTCATTAACGGCACAGGCCGCCTTGCGACCAATCACAGGCAGCAAAAACTGCAGGAAAATCGACCCACCGGCCTCTCCCACGTCCACGACCACGACCTCGGCCCCGGCCCCTCCTCGCAGGCCGCACCGCCGGCACCGCGTCGCGCTGGGCCTGCAGGCTAGGCGAGCCGTAGGTCCCTCCCAGCGAAACGAGGCCCAGCACTTCGGCCGTTAAGTCGCTGATGGTGCTGAGCGGTGCCGCCATGAGCGAGTCCCTCCCGGGCTGCGGTGGTGGCGGCGGCGGTGGCAGCAGTCGGCTCAGCAGGCTGGGCGCTGCCTCTATGTGTCGCTGGGCACCGGTGGAACCCGGGTCCATCATTATCATCGGCGAGTTGGATCCCGCATCCATCACCAGGACATCCACGGGCAGGTACACGTACATATCGGCCCGCTACGCAAACACAGCGGACACGCATGCAGACTTGCATGGCTACTTTGGCACAAGGCAAGGCAATAGACATTTATACAACTGCATCCTGCATGTGCACTGATCTAGTCAGATATCAGAAGATCAGTATGGTAAAGCATGGTTGATACTTACAAGGGAGTATACACTACATGGGAACACTAAGTGTTGCAAACTTGTACAAGTGTCATGACAGAAGATAGTTGAGTGATTTCATGCTCAAAAGCAAAATTGAGGCAGTGATCACCTTCTGTTTACAGCCCCAAGAGGACTTGCCCAAAAAGTTATACTTATTACATAAGATAGTACAGCAATGGATTATTGATTCTATCTGTGGATATATGTATGCATTACCCCCTTGTACGTGTTGTATTTTGTCCAGGAAATCTTTGGTTTCCTCCCACTTGCCAAACACTCCTAAGTGCACGGGCATAATATCAATTTGAAACCCCCCGCCCACCTCCTACGCATTTTCCATATGCCAAATTCCTCTTGATATGCAAATTATTTTGTCAAGGCGCTCTTCTTCCCACCTCCCCCCCTCCAACCCAGCTTAAATATACGCTCCAAGCTTGGTGGTGTTTCATTCTTCACCTGAGGACGGCTGCTTGCGTTGTGGCCGAAACGTCCTGAGAATTATTTTATTATGTTTTATTTTTATTATTTTATTACTTCCCTTCTACGTGACTTTACCGAAAGAACCAAGAAGATGAATCCCTGCAGTCACGAAAGCTTTAAATCGAAACTCCTAAGTGAATTAAGTGAATGGCCCAGTGCAGGGCCCCACATTAGAAGAGTCTTGATATTTAGTACACATGTTTTGGCTAAATAAATTGCATTATAGAACTGCTTTTTTGTGTTTAGTTTGTTGTCCTTCCCCCGCACCTCCAATTAGCACGGTTGGCTATGTACGTATGCGCATACATAGATGCGAAAGCAAATATACACACAGACACATCAGTAAACAACTGATACACATGGAGATACACATGGGCAGCAAGGCTGTCACTATATCTGCGTCTAGGTAATATCCAAAGACCCACATTGGGAAAAAAAACATCCAATGTAACTGTTATTGGTTAAACATCCGAATACTGAAAATGTACCTGAAAATTACTCAATTGGGATTCACACAGAAACATCACCTCCTACGGCGACAACCTTGCTGGACCCTCCTGGAAAAGTCTCGACATTCAGCGAGGCTTTTCAGGGTAAACACGCATAATAATAACAAACACAAGTCAACCAGCTCCTAAGTGGTTCTTCTCACAACATTTCCTGAAACCGCTTTACACACGCATGTTCCAAAATGTTCTTTTGTTTTAAAAAACGGACTTAAAGAGCTCGGCTCAATCCACTGCAGAGGATGCGCATGACCAGCGTGGGAACGCGAGGCTGAGCTTGATCGCAAACTAGGTTTCTGTAGAAGAATGTACGCGCAAAGATGCACGTTTTGATGTAAAAATGTCATGCCTTTTAAATACTTTTTAATGTTTTCAGTGTTGAAAGTCAGAAACAAGTAGTCTCACAGTTTGTACATGTTTTACAATTATTCTTCACTTGCGAGGCGAGCGGTGGGAAACCTGTTTGCAGTTGTCATGTTGCCGCACGCACACACGTCACACCTAGATATTATGACCCTAAACGCGCGTTCGGATATTTCTAAATAAAAATCCTCCAAGACAAATTTCACAAGTAAAACAAGCTTAACACTTTTTTCATGACTCTTCTGTGACTATATTTATACAGCACTTCGTAAAATGTACTGCATTCCTTGTCTACCGTGATGGATGTTGACTTGTGGCATATTTATGAAGTATATAACAACACATTATTTGAGGCTATTCCATGGCACCAACCCCATTCAGTGCTCGCAAGGGATGTCACTTCCATCATTCAAATGTCCAATGCGCCCATGTGGGGAATTAATCTTGCAGATTCACGTTCACAGCTTCACCTTGACAAACCATTCCTTGCGTGGGTGACCAGGGTGAGAAGTGCACCGAGATGCTGCCATAAAGCCACCCTGGGCCACCACCAAACGGCCCCATTTCTCAAAAATTTCAAGCCGTCCATTATGCTCACTCAGTGGCCAGGAAACCCAACAAACCACACCTCGCTCGGGTCATCATAGTTCAAGCAAAGTTCTCATCTAGACCTGGCCACGAAAGGAAAATGTGTTAGACCTGAGCGCAGAGATGAGACAGGAGGTAAGGACTTGAAACATGGGCAGAGAGAAACGAGACTTGGCTAAGCAGCCACAAGACGCACCAGCCTCCAGCCTTGGCGACGAGACAGATGAGGTCTGGCCACGGACAAGATATTAAAAAGGCGAGACATGTGGCCAGCCGGAGAAAAATACATAGGGGTGACTTTTTCCACTGTTTTCTAATTTAAGCCTATGGCCAAATCACCTGAATGCACTCAATCTCGTCACTTATGGCAAGTTACAAGAGCCTGGATAGTGCTTGGGCTGCTGGCAGGCTGCGTGCTTGGGCATCAGAGGGCGGTGCAGAAAAGTAAATAGTTGGACAGCACTTCGATGTTCCTCTCCTTCACCAGCCCGCACCGAGCAGTGCAGTGAAGTCAATTAACCCTCACTACCCACGCCGAGCGGGCAGGGCAGCAGTGGATTGACTAAAGGGCTGTACGAGTCCTACTTTAAATATCGTAGAGAAAGTTGCACTTGAGGGTGTTGTGTGTTACACGAAACCAAACACCGACTCGCCAGGCAAGAGCTTGCCAAGCAGGAGACGCGAGAGTCGAGAATTCGCCAGACATGGGATGCGAGACTTGGACAATGGAGACACGAGTAGACATGCCCACGCAGATGTAGACGAGGACGGGGGGCCCCGTGGAGAGATGAAGAGGCCTTGCACAATGAGAGGCGAGACAGAGCCATGGGCACTGGGGAGGAGGTGACGATACAATGCCTTGAGCAGAAGCGACACCGGGCGTAAAGGGGTCAAAGCGACAAGAAATGTGATGATGAAAACACAAGCCGCGGACACCGGACAGAGAAGAGCGCGATGTGCGAGGGAGACGCGGTCCCGTGTCCTCCTCCTCCTCCTCACCTCGCCGGGTCGCACAGGTGTGAGCTCCGCGAACACCGGGGCCTCTTCCGCATCCATCCCCGTGTCGATCTGTTCCCTGCAGTTCACACTCGCGTCCCTTGATCACTTTGTCTCCCTCCCTCCCTCTGCCCCTTCTCTGTTGTTCTTTCCCTCCCGTATCTCCGCCCTCTGTGTGTGTCCCACGCGCTCTGCTCCCTTAACATGTAACTCTCGCTCGCGTTGTCTCTCTGCCGCTCGCCGCCGTCTCTCGCCTCCGCTGTGCCCCGTGTCGCTGCTTCCCCGACACCGCCGACACCCTCCCCGCGCCGTCTCCGTCTCTCGCTTCGCCCCAAACTCCACGGGCCCCAAACTTCAGAGTCGAGGAGCAACGAGGCCCGCGCACCGCCCCTCCCCCCACCTCGCCAGAGCCCCGCCCCCCCGCGCCAAGGCCACGCCCCTCCCCCACCTCGCCAGAGCCCCGCCCCCCGCGCCAGGCCCCGCCCACTATTCTCTAGAGCCACGCCCCCTATTCTCTAGAGCCACGCCCCTCCGCGCCAAGGCCCCGCCCCCTATTCTCTAGAGCCCCGCCCCCCCGCGACAAGCCCCGCCCCTTATTCTCTAGAGCCGCGCCCCCTATGCTCTAGAGCCCCGCCCCCGCGCCAAGCCCCGCCCCCTATTCTCTAGAGCCACACCCCCTTCCGCCCCTAACCCCGCCCCTCTCAGACCCGAGCCCCGCCCACATATACATCACACCCGCCCCTCTTCTAGCCCCGCCTCTTCGTGAACGTGTTGATTTTTCTTTTTTAAAAAGGGCCATCGGCCGAAACGTCGACGATTATGCACTTTCCTGTGTTGGAGCTATTGACGATTGGAGAGGCATTTTCATCGGGATTATGGAGCGCCGATGGCGCAGTGGGTAGCGCGCGACGCTTTGCAGCTGGACACGCGAAGCTGCTTTCCGCAGAGACCACGGCTGCCATCAGCGGCGACTCGCGAGCCGGAGTTCCCAACCTGGTTCTCATCTTGCGCGTGACTGCAGGACTGTGTAGTATGTTCAGGAGGTAAATGCTAAACATGTCGCGAGGTCTACTGGCCACGAGAGGGCTTCAGCCTTTTAGAGTTCGTGTAGTTGTCTTGTTTTTTCCCTTCCTGCTCCGATGAAGGAGCGCAGACGACTTGGCTCAACTCCCAAGCTCCGGAGTTCGCGTTGCATTGTCCGCAATCGCACGACAACTGCGGTTATTGTGGCTTTAACGAGATGCTCGCATCGGCCTGGTGACGTTCTGATGCTGTCGACGGCGACACCGGCGTGGTGAAGTATGGTCAAACAACCCTCACAACCGACAGGGCGTGTAGGCCATCATCCAGCAGTGGAATAACAAAGGCATAAGCATTGTACTGTATAGCGAAACGACAGTACTGGACTGTACTTCAACGAGCAATTGCCGCTCCGCTCGCACGCCACTCAAATGTCTAAGCCCCTCCCCCTTCCGCAAACTCCGCCCACACACTCAGCCCCTCCCACTCCCCCACGATCACCCCCACCCCACCGCCACAGATTATGATTCCTTTTGTGTTCTGGTAGAGAATGGAAAGCCCCGGGGCCCTGGGAGCCCAACTCCTTTAAACACCGCAGCGTCTCGCACTCTCCATAGCCCCCTTCCACATCCCGTGTCCACATCCACTCGCCCCCCCCTCGCCCCCCCCTCGCTCCCCACACAACCCCCTCGCCCCCCCCTCGCTCCCCACACAACCCCCTCGCCCCCCCCCCTCGCTCCCCACACAACCCCCTCGCCCCCCCCCTCGCTCCCCACACAACCCCTCGCCCCCCCCCCTCGCCCCCCCCCCTCGCTCCCCACACAACCCCCTCGCCCCCCCCCCTCGCTCCCCCCCTCGCTCCCCACACAACCCCCTCGCCCCCCCCCTCGCTCCCCACACAACCCCTCGCCCCCCCCCCCTCGCTCCCCACACAACCCCCTCGCCCCCCCCCCCTCGCTCCCCCCCTCGCTCCCCACACAACCCCTCGCCCCCCCCTCGCTCCCCACACAACCCCCTCGCTCCCCACACAACCCCTCGCCCCCCCCCTCGCTCCCCCCCTCGCTCCCCACACAACCCCCTCGCCCCCCCCCTCGCTCCCCACACAACCCCTCGCCCCCCCCCCTCGCTCCCCACACAACCCCCTCGCCCCCCCCCCTCGCTCCCCCCCTCGCTCCCCACACAACCCCTCGCCCCCCCCTCGCTCCCCACACAACCCCCTCGCTCCCCACACAACCCCTCGCCCCCCCCCCTCGCTCCCCACACAACCCCCTCGCCCCCCCCTCGCTCCCCACACAACCCCCTCGCCCCCCCCCTCGCTCCCCACACAACCCCTCGCCCCCCCCCCCCTCGCTCCCCCCCCTCGCTCCCCACACAACCCCTCGCCCCCCCCCTCGCTCCCCACACAACCCCCTCGCTCCCCACACAACCCCCTCGCCCCCCCCTCGCTCCCCACACAACCCCCTCGCCCCCCCCCTCGCTCCCCACACAACCCCCTCGCCCCCCCCCTCGCTCCCCACACAACCCCTCGCCCCCCCCCCTCGCCCCCCCCCCCCTCGCTCCCCCCCCTCGCTCCCCACACAACCCCCTCGCCCCCCCCCCTCGCTCCCCACCCAACCCCCTCGCTCCCCCCCTCGCTCCCCACACAACCCCCTCGCCCCCCCCCCCCCTCGCTCCCCACACAACCCCCTCGCCCCCCCCCTCGCTCCCCACACAACCCCTCGCCCCCCCCCTCGCTCCCCACACAACCCCCTCGCCCCACCCCCCCTCGCTCCCCACACAACCCCCTCGCCCCCCCCTCGCTCCCCACACAACCCCCTCGCCCCCCCCCTCGCTCCCCACACAACCCCCTCGCCCCCCCCCCTCGCTCCCCACACAACCCCCTCGCCCCCCCCCCTCGCTCCCCACACAACCCCTCGCCCCCCCCTCGCTCCCCACTCAACCCCCTCGCCCCCCCTCGCTCCCCACTCAACCCCCTCGCCCCCCCTCGCTCCCCACACAACCCCCTCGCTCCCAGGGGCGGCAAGGGCCCCCCTCGTCGTCCCACGCCTGGGCCCCCAGTGTAGTTGCCCCCCATTGTAGTTGCCCCCCAGTGTAGTTGCCCCCAGTGTAGTTGCCCCCCATTGTAGTTGCCCCCAGTGTAGTTGCCCCCCCAGTGTAGTTGCCCTCCATTGTAGTTGCCCCCAGTGTAGTTGCCCCCCCATTGTAGTTGCCCCCCATTGTAGTTGCCCCCCAGTGTAGTTGCCCCCAGTGTAGTTGCCCCCCATTGTAGTTGCCCCCCCATTGTAGTTGCCCCCAGTGTAGTTGCCCCCCCAGTGTAGTTGCCCCCCATTGTAGTTGCCCCCAGTGTAGTTGCCCCCCCAGTGTAGTTGCCCCCCATTGTAGTTGCCCCCAGTGTAGTTGCCCCCCCAGTGTAGTTGCCCCCCATTGTAGTTGCCCCCCAGTGTAGTTGCCCCCCAGTGTAGTTGCCCCCCAGTGTAGTTGCCCCCCATTGTAGTTGCCCCCCAGTGTAGTTGCCCCCCATTGTAGTTGCCCCCCAGTGTAGTTGCCCCCAGTGTAGTTGCCCCCCAGTGTAGTTGCCCCCAGTGTAGTTGCCCCCCCCAGTGTAGTTGCCCCCAGTGTAGTTGCCCCCCATTGTAGTTGCCCCCAGTGTAGTTGCCCCCCCCCAGTGTAGTTGCCCCCAGTGTAGTTGCCCCCCATTGTAGTTGCCCCCAGTGTTGTTGCCCCCCATTGTAGTTGCCCCCAGTGTAGTTGCCCCCCCAGTGTAGTTGCCCTCCATTGTAGTTGCCCTCCATTGTAGTTGCCCCCCCAGTGTAGTTGCCCCCCCAGTGTAGTTGCCCCCCCAGTGTAGTTGCCCTCCATTGTAGTTGCCCCCCAGTGTAGTTGCCCCCATTGTAGTTGCCCCCCATTGTAGTTGCCCCCAGTGTTGTTGCCCCCCAGTGTAGTTGCCCTCCATTGTAGTTGCCCCCCATTGTAGTTGCCCCCATTGTAGTTGCCCCCCATTGTAGTTGCCCCCAGTGTTGTTGCCCCCCATTGTAGTTGCCCTCCATTGTAGTTGCCCCCCAGTGTAGTTGCCCCCATTGTAGTTGCCCCCCATTGTAGTTGCCCCCAGTGTTGTTGCCCCCCATTGTAGTTGCCCCCAGTGTAGTTGCCCCCCCAGTGTAGTTGCCCTCCATTGTAGTTGCCCTCCATTGTAGTTGCCCCCCAGTGTAGTTGCCCCCCCAGTGTAGTTGCCCCCCCAGTGTAGTTGCCCCCCCAGTGTAGTTGCCCCCCAGTGTAGTTGCACCACCCCCACCACCGCTCGAGGTCAGATCTCTCTGTGAGGACACTTCACACACAACCACGCAAGTTCAGTCTCACTCCATCCCATTATATAACCTCTCCGGACTCCTAATCCAATTCATCCCCACACATCGCTCTGGTTATTGCACCCGAGTCTCTCTCTCCATGCACGATTCACACCTCTCCTAGTCCAGGATGTCCCGACACTCCAACCCCGTCTCTCCCTCTCACTTCACGGGATGTTCCACAGAGCCTGCGTCTCTCCGTCTGCCCCATCTCCACAGCCCCTCGCTAAATCCAGACTCCCCATCTCCATCCGCTTCACACGCGCAGACAAAGATGCCCCGTGTAGCCGATTCAGACTTTTGGGGCAAGTGCTGTTAGCGAGCATCTATGAAGGTCGGCACGGCACACGAAGGGGGGTGAATGTGGCCAGCGCCACGCCGTCTTAAGTCTTCCCATCGATGATGGTTACACACTGCGCTCGTTTACGTTCGAGTCGACCTAGGCGAAGTCCAGAACCGGTTCAGTTAATCACCACTGATGTTACTCGTGGCTGGGTATCGATTCGAACTCGGGCCTTCGTGTTTGTGATGGCGCAGAGCGCTCACCACTGCGCCACAACTCCACCAAAACAAAAGACAAACAAACACCACCACGCACCACGTACACCACAAACCACGCACGTCCCCAACCCTCCCCCCTCCTCCTCAGTGTCCCGGGGAATGTGGCTGGACGAGATGGTTGGGCCGCACCCACGGCACACCCCACTCGCTCACACATGCAGGAACAACACAGGAGTGAGACACACACCAGAGAGACACGCAGAGACACACACACACCAGAGAGACACACACCAGAGAGACACACGCAGAGACACACAAGAGACACACAAGAGAGACACACACACCAGAGAGACACGCAGAGACACACACACCAGAGAGACACGCAGAGACACACACACCAGAGACACACACACACAAGAGAGACACACGCAGGAACAACACAGGAGTGAGACACACACAAGAGACACACGCAGAGACACACACACCAGAGAGAGACACACAAGAGAGACACGCAGGAACAACACAGGAGTGAGACACACACAAGAGACACACGCAGAGACACACACACCAGAGAGACACACGCAGGAACAACACAGGAGTGATACACACAGACACACACACACAAGAGACACACGGAGACACACACACAAGAGACACACGCAGGAACACACACACAGGAACACACACACAAGACACACACACAGGCCGCCCCGTGTACCCGAGACGTTGTGACCGCATATGCGGTGTCGGCACCCACCCACTCGCACGATGGACTTCGTCACCAGAGTTCCATTCCCGGCCACGGACATTGGTGGGAAGTTATGTCAGAGGCTGTCCACGAGTCCCTATTTGTTTACTTGTTGTACTGTACTGGTGTAAATAATACGCAAATGGGCCTGGTTCACATCCGTCCCTCCGCATAAACCAAAGTTTTTACAGATCAAATCAGGCACAAGTCCTTTTGGAAGTGCATAACTTAAGCAGCGTTGGTTAAACGCAATGGAACTCCGAAGAGGATGCATGGTTGATGGGATGTGTAACACACGCTTGTATTTTATGTGCAGGAACATGGGAAGGAGGCTTATTCTCTATTTATTGTTTCTGTACTTACATTCTCCACAATGACGCAAATTATTTAATGCTGTTAAGTATTGCGTTTGCCATCTTGATGAGTCGTTACTTGCAAATAAGACTATCAGCCCTTCATGCAGCAGCGGACTGATAAGATTTGTACATTACAATTGTAATTCAAGACTCAAGACAACAAATTTAAGTTAAAATAGACCCTCACAATGCGTGAAAACCTAAGAAAAATCTATCATCACGCAGTTTTAAGGCAGTCATCTCCGTGTATAACAAAGCACTGCATTCCCCATGCATCGTAACAAGTCACTTAAAAAAGAAAACAAGCCTGTGACTGTATAACTCTAAATTTATTCGTATATCTTCTTGGTTCTTTCGGTAAAGTCATGTAGAAGGGAAGTAATAAAATAATATTTTTATTATTTTATTACTTCCCTTCTACGTGACTTTACCGAAAGAACCAAGAAGATGAATCCCTGCAGTCACGAAAGCTTTAAATCGAAATTTATTCGTATATGGCACCAAACGTGTGCTCCCAAGTCGTGTTGGTATTTGCGAGTTTGTGGAAAGTGAACATTGTACTGCACATGATAAATACATATTTCTCGTCACTTCACTGCACACATTGTTTCGCAATTCCCCACCATCCATCTCCGCACAATAGCGGGCTCCACTGTCTGACACGTCCTTCCATCAACTTCCCACTTTCCTCCCACTGTGTAAACCCAGAACTATCCAATCAAGACGAGCATTCTTCTCCATCAAGATGTATCTCGTTCCTAAATGCGAGCACTTACACAGTTGTCAAAGGACATGTGCCGGTATGAAACCTATTCGTCCTGCAGCCCATGGTCACTGCTGTTTCCTCTCTATGGAATCAACGTGGCATAGGAAAAGGAACCATTCTGAAAAGTGTCGGTACACAAGTTTGGTCTTGTGACAAGTGCCGGCATGGCGTAACGGCGTATATCCTCATATTTGCACCACTGTACTTACGGCATCTTTACATCTGCGTAGTTTTTTTTACATTCTACGTTCAATACGAATCTTATTTAAAAATCTACAGCATTTAAAACGTGCAGAGGTACCGTGGTATTTTGATGCCGCATCATCGAGGTGCACTTGAATTGTTCGTCTGACATGTCTTACCAAGGCACAGAGTGAAAGCTTTATTGACAGGATATTTACAAGACGACCATGACCCAAGTAGTGCCAAGCAGAACCAAGCCAATGTTAATTTTACCGCAGTCCCTAAACCAAGTGCACCCATCAGGCAAGTAATAATAGTGGCAGAGGTGGGACAAAGTCATTGTTATGCAAGTCCAAGTCGAGTCTGAAGTCATCAAATTCATGACTCGAGTCTGACTCGAGTCCAAGTCACATGACTCGAGTCCACACCTCTGAATAGTGGTAATAATAGAAACAGCATATTTTTCCACTGGCCTAAATGATGAGCAATGTCCCAGTACATGCGACTGCACCACCTCCAATTAGCACGATTGGCTACGTATGGTGCGAAGGAAGTTCCACTTCCACACATACCCTGGCCTGGGCACTGCAGCACGATGCCTGCTATTTGATTTACAAACCCACCTCGAAATTAGTGGAGCAAAACAAGTTATTTACCAACTTCACAGGAAAGTTAAATCCTTTGGAAAATCAAATAAAAAAACATCTGAGCAGTAACATATTTCTTGTCACAAACATGTTTTTCCTTTCAATTGAATTCGTAACACAAGCAAAGCTCATGTACACACATCTCTTATTTTCTAAATGAATATTGTTAGGCATACAATAACCAGTTATCATTTTGAGACTAATTTTCTAATTTTGGAACACTGCTACTACACTGGCACACAATTGCCCACACGCTCAATCAATGACTGCAGTGTCTTATTGCTTTACAGAAGCCACGCTGTGGTAATTCCTTGCCGTATTAATGGGAAGACAAGGGATCGCATCACTGATCCAGTGTAATTAGCTTTACGATGGGCGTGCTGACGACTTCATCAGCTACTTATTTTCAGTACCATTGGCATAACGCTCGCGATAAACACTCAAGTGCAGTCTGCATCGCCAACACTGCCCCAGGTGGCACACGCACTTTACGCAAGGCATCACAAAGTCCATTACTGCAACTGTATGTTTCAGTTCTCTGCATTGCTCTGCAATTATAAACCGCATTCAATATCAAGCCAGAAGGGCCCAGGTTCAGCAGCATATAAATGACGTTCTGCATACCTGGGAGCAATACAACAAAAAACCAGGACAGTATTTGACAAAATCACGCGGAACACACCCACCCTCGTCAGATCTCACAAGCTAAGCAATATTAAGCCTGGATAGTGCTTGGATAGGCGACCATCAAGCATAATAGAGGTCATAGGTTGTGGAGCACCAGAAGGCAGTGCAGAAAAATCCACTGTTGTCCTGTACTGTAACACTATACTCACGCATCCATGCTCCCAGCCATCAGCAACCCCACACTGACCAGCGTGTTGGAAGTATGGTCAAATAACCTCCATGACCCCAGGGCTCGATGGTTATATTTACAGTACATTACCCAACCATAAATTAATAAAGAATCAAGCATCTAACCACATTCTGCATGAACCATTGAAGGAAACGTGGTTTTTTATACAGCCCGAGGGTTTCCTGGAAACGCATGCAGACGCACATTAGTGTGCTCACGACAGGTAGGATGATTTTGGCCGCCCCGGTTTCACAAAGTGGCCATCTTCAGAGCCGTGTCCAAACATGACGGACATGACGCTCTTGCGGCTCATAGACTGTGAGGAGGCCAGGCTGACCCCGGTTTTCTTTGCCGCGCGAAGAGGGCCGGGCGATGGTGCGGCAACGGGGCGAGCAAGGCCCGGGCGGTAGTCTGTACGGCGGATTCCACAACAGTGGCACGCAGGATCGCAGCACATGCAGCACAGGCACAAAATAGAACGACAGCAGCGACATGTTCACGACACGCTGTAACTGGGCATCATTGGACAAGCTTGCTGTTCTTGTTGCGTCTGTGAGGTCGCGCGAGGTTCAAACGAAACCAAGACTGGCCGTTCACTCCGCCAAGCCGAGGACTGCTCTTTTTTCACAGTGCAATAGTCGGCATCGGCTTCTGTTATCGGCGTCGTATATGTCAAACAGTCGAGTGGCTCGGCGCTCCACACACGCTAGATATATATATGTACCCAGAAAGGGTTATGGAACTTTTTAGCCTAGTCGAGTGTTGCTGACAGCTCGAATAGGATTTTTAAAAACTTATTATCAAGGAGGATCAAGCCTTGACAGTAGGTGAGGCCGACCATCAAGGCATAGCCTGCACCTCGCCTAGTTTGCCGACTGGGTCGGCTCACGTTACGTGGGCCGTCATTGTCAGGCATTGTTACTTTTTTAGCATGACCTACGATGCCAGACAGACGTTTTTCATGGCCATTCTAAATATATGGTATTAAGAAAATGTGGTGGTGGTAGCAATGGTGCAGGGGGAGGCGTACCCAGCAAGGTAATGATGTCAGCTGACGAGGACGACGCTGGGAGGTACTGTCCCGGTCGCCGGCCGGCAGCATCTCGTGCTCCCACAAACGCCCCAAATCTGGCACAGAATCCTCCGTCACTTATCTCACCATACATCATCCAACTCTCATCGCCACATCTCTTAATTAGGTATCTTGAGCATAATCTATTTAAATTAATCGATTAATCATGTGCTTAATCATCAAGCAAAAAGAACATCATTCACAATTCACCTCTCCCGTCAACATTACCCACTCCGCATTTTCATATTACCCTCGCAAGCCTGCCCTACGAATGTCAGCCCCTCCACACCTTCATGTGGGTTATTTGATGGTGATGACGCCGCTGCGTCGGCAGCAGCGCACACAGAACACAAAAACCACTCGACACATTCGTCAATAACACCACGGCCTTAAAGGTGAAAACAACATTCAAAGAGACAACATTTCATCACAGCCACCTACTCGTGGCAGCCTCACCTGTTCACCAGCAGCCTCATGACCTCCTTGTGGCCACACATGGCCGCCACGTGTAGGGGCGTGTGGCCCACGCGCGACCGCGGCTCCTCCACCCCAGGGCCTGTGGCACCCAGCGCGTGTGGTGGACGCGTTTTGTTCAGTTGCTGGTAGAGCACGATGAGAGCGTTGGTGTCTCCGTGCTTCGCCGCCCAGTGCAGGGCCGTGAAGCCCGACACCAAGTCCTTCTGTCGACACGCACAGATGGGACACACGCATGCACAAACCAGGGAGGGAATTGTCAGCGAAAGAGATAATGATTTTACAAGCTAACATCTATTCTTACACGTCAAATTGTGCGTGGGAGAAATATTTCTTTTCGATGGCGCACGTATTTGGCTTTTGTGACTAAAGGCATTAAAATGTAAAATTATGCACCGTCATATTATAAAACGGGGGCGTGGCGATTACGCAGTGGCCAGAGTTCGCTTCTCGGTAAAAAGCCGTTCAGATCATCGGAACCAGTTTTGAGCCTCAGCTGGGTTGACTCAGCCTTAAACGCGTGCATAGCACGGTGTGTAGACATGAACACCAGGGAGGCGAAAAGCGGCTGGGCAGGGCCCTGTGCTGACTTTAACAGAACTTGCCTCAAAATCTGTATGGCTACATACATGTCGTATGTGTATGTATGTGCATGTGAGCACCAGTTATATATGTGAGTATTAAAAATCAGCCTCCCCGAGATCGACTCGGCCTTAAAAACTAGTACTTGGTGTGGTGAGTAAACATCAGCGCTGGGGAGACAAAGGTGGCCGGGTATGGTGCTCGTCAAACACCCCCTCGAGTGTAGTTCTGGCCTTCATAGGTGCTTGGGAATGGCACTTGCCCCAACAACCTATTACGAGGGTATAAGGGGGATCGTTGTTTGTGTTTGTGCGTATGAACAACAACATACCGTGAGCAGCAGGTCAGGGTTGGTTTTCATGACCCGGAAGAGAGAGCGGAAGTCGCCCCGGACTGCAGAAAGCATCCAGACACGTTGGACTCTGCTCAAGGTCTCTGGTTGTAGGCGGTCTCTAGAACGTTCCCGCACACGTGTCTGGCAAGAGACAAAGATCCCCCGTATAGCCTTAACAGACTGTTGGGGAAAGTGCTGTTAGCGGGCACCTACGATGGCCGGCATGGCACACGAGGTAGGTGACAGCACCACGCCGGGCTGCCCTTGTCTCCCTCGTAGCGATGTTTACAGATCGTACCAGGTACTCATTTGAGCCTGAGTCGACCTAGGGGAGGCCCAGGACCGGTTCAGGTAATCGTCACTGGTGTTAGCCATAAGTGGACATCGAACTGGGTTCGCAGGGTTCGTAGCGCAACGAGTTACCGCTGCGCCACTGCTCCCCACATGCGTCTGTATACACGCATGGACACGCGCATGTTCAAGCTCTCACACCCACATAACACAGGCAAATACATCCCTTGGAGGCACACGCACACATCCAAACACAACAACCTGACACACACGGACACCGCGCCCCACACACGGAGCCAAATATTCTGGTACTTTAAACATATTAATTCTTGAGTCATGCAAGAACCATCTATAAATAATTTGCGATGGGTTTTGACGCTGCCCCAGCATACAACGCGATCACTGGTCAATGCGGCCGAGGCAGCGGCACCTCTCTCGCCGGTCCCCCGCGCTCGATCCCCGCCGGCGCCGTGTCCAGGTGAACCGGCACCACCTTCTTCACCTTGTCCTGCTGCTGCACACGACAGAAATATAATCTTTAGTCATCCTGGAGGAATCCGATGAGCTACGAAGCTCGATTTTCACAGATGTCCAGTACCGCGCGACAACAAGGAACCTGGCAAAGATTCCTTATCGTCTAATACTGTGGGTGAAGATGTCCCGATGTCTGCATGAACAAAAATGCAACAAACCTCCACATCGATGTCCATCAGCCATATTTGGTTCAATGTGCGCACCAACGGTTGTGTATAATTAGTACGTAAAACACGCGGGGCTTTTGTCTTGCGCTGTAGAGGGTAGTGTCGCCAAATCAAATGTTGTAATATACTATGCTTCCAACCTTCATCAATTCACATTGACCAGCGTGAAGTACGGCCAACCCCCACATCCTGCACGGTGTGGGAAGGCCCTCACCCAGCAGTGGATTGACAAATGGCTGTACACGTACATAAACAAGCACACACACAAACCAGCACAAGTATGCTTGTGTTTGGGCAGATGTCAATGATGTGTGGACACACACACCTCCCGCACCTTCGATCAGCACGGTTGGCTACGAAGTTCAACATACGCACAGGCCAATACTGGACTTGTGCGTTTTGTGTATACACCCAACGCCTATGACAAGGTTATGTCTTGTCTGTGCAAGCGTAGGGTACCTTTGGCTCCACCAGCTGCTGCTGCTGCTGCTGCTTGCGGAGATTGTTGCGGGAGGTGCTGTGCGTCAGGAGCTCGTTGATCCTGCTGACCTCCTGCGGAACGCATACACCCCAGTCGACGGGCACCACGGGCTTCTTCCACATGCGCGAGCCCTGTCGGCTCAGGTGGCTCTGCCCACCTCCCCCCGTCTGCGCCGTCAGCAGGCCCTTGGCCACGCGTCGGACGTTAGAGGCGAAAGCCTCGTCGGCGCTTCCGTAGGAGGGGTCGTCGTCATTGTTGTCCTGTGAGCCTGGCGCGGCAGAGGATGACGACGAGGAAGGAGCCAAGGAGTGCTCCCCCAGCGGCTGTGCCGACTGCTGCTGCTGTTGTTGTTGTTTCCACGCCGCGCGGGTGACCTGCGCCCGAGTCCGCAATGGAGAGTGGACGATTTCAGCTGCGACGCGACGCAGGTTGTCCGCCAAAGCATTGTCATCCTCAGAGTCGTAGTGGCCTTGTTGCCGTTCAATTAAAGTCTGGTCATCGCCACTCAGCTGTTCAGAAGTTACCGGCAGTGCCGTTAACAGCACTGGTGATGGGGCCCGCGGCTCCGTGGGGACCGTCTCCATGGTTTTGGCAAACAGAGGAGGAATGTTATCCACATCTGATTGTGTAGAGCGGCGAGGATGAGGTTTGTCCAGGATGGCTCCATCGTCACAGCTGACGAGCGTAGACACGTGCCCTGGGTGTACTTCGTCTCTGTCCGGTAACAAATTTGGCACGAACATGTCTTGTCCTTCCAGACTGGATTCAGAGTCTTCCAGTGGTGGGTAGGTCCAGACTTTTGGGCGTGTGTCTGTGTAGCCCAGATCTGGACGTTTATGAAACTCATCTTGATGCCTTTCCATGTGGTGACTCTGAATATCTCCCATTGCTTTGCTTTCCTCTAAAATATGGCTATCCCTGCCTAAACTCTGCGTCCGTACCGCAGGGTTGTGAAAATCTCTTTCATTGCGACGTACCTCACGATGATGTTCAAAATGGTTGTCGTTTTGATGGAGGTCCTTCAGAGACGAACTCTTTTCCGGTAAGATGTAATGAGTTGGCGGAACCGAGGGAATGTTCACGAGCAGGTTTTAATTCTGGATCTCCTGCATAATGATGATTATCCTGAAATTTGAAATCTTGGTCACTCTGATAGACATCCTTCAAAGATCTGCTCTTTTCTAATACTAGCCTGCCTCTGTCCTCACTTCTGTTAACTAAAGTTTGATCTGTAAGGCTGAATCTGTGATCATCTGGCCTATATTGATTTTGAAACGAGTACGGCTGATCAGTACTCTGGAAATCACGCAATGATTTGCTTTTTTCTAGAACAGCTCTCCTCCCGGTCTCTCGGAGTGGCTCACGTGCGTTTACGTGAACAACATTCCAGTCTCTGGGATGACCTTCACGCCCAATCTCAACGCTGTATTCATAGAGATCCCTTAAAGATTTGCTCTTCTCTGAGAACAATTCTGGATACTCAGCAGTAGCACCGAGGAAGTTAGCAGGCTGCTGATATGAGGCCACTGATTCCCACTGATTTCCATGTTGGAGGTTGACCAAAGAGTGGCTCTTCTCCATGAGAGCCTTGGCTCGCTGCCGGGGTCGTCTCCCTTGCGTCAAGGCGTGTTTTATAAACATCGGGATACCGCGTCCGGCCACCTCAGTTGTTGACGGCTGCCGTCTGTCTGAACTTGCGTAAGATTGAAGTGACCCTTCCTGACGATGATCATAATCGTGTTGCTTGAACTGGTCCTGGTGCATGCGCGGAGATTGGCTACTGTGCTGGAACCAGGGACGTTGCTCACCTGCCGCTGTCACGTTCTGAGATTCTCTCATTGACCTCTTCTCCTTTTCCGCCAAATCATCTTCGGTGGCATCTGGGGGAATGTCAAAACGTAGTGAGGGGAAAGAGCGGCTGCGGCTGGACGTCGCGATCGGCAAGGGCTGATTTTCTCTTGTGGCCAAGCGAGGATCCCCACGAGAACGCAGCTCGGAGGAGCTCAGGTAGCGACTCATCATCGCATAGAGTGGCGGCGGCGGCAGCAGCTTACCCTGGGGTGCATTCACATCTGGACGTCTGGAATGTTGTGCATCTGCCAGAGTCTCGGGAAGTATGTCCACGCGGCGAGTAACGGCGTGCTTTTTTTCGACTTCCATTTTCTCCTCATAGTCGTTGCGGTTCAAGTCGTGCTGAGAGTGCTGGGCCGAGCTCCTCCTCATTTCCGACTCTGCCGGTGTGCTCAGGCGCACGTCCAACTCGGACTCCCTCCATTCCTGGCTACTGTCTGATCGCCGTGAGAATTGTGATGTGGACTGCGGCAATGGCTCGACACGAACAAATGCGGGCGCGTTTACCTTCGTCATTGCTACACCTCTCTGAGGATCGTTATCTCGAGTGAACATAATGGAAGGGATTTCACTTCCAGGTTGCGGGTATTGCTTGTTCCACCGATCAGTTCTTTCCAATTCCAGATAATCATCTGCACGTTCACGTGACCAATCGGGTATGGTAGCTCGCTCGCCATCCCTCTGCAAATGATGCCACCCAGCACCGTGTAGTGGAGGGTCATGCGCCCTGTGCCAGTATTCAGCTCCTTGCCCAACACTGCCACCTCCTCCCCGCGTTTCTAAAGTCATATACATGTTCTCTTCGCTCGGCTGGCTGCCTTGGGGGTTTGGTTCATTTAGATAAAGGTCTTGTGCTGCTTGCCAACCGCCACGCGGTACGTCAGTTCTGAGTCTGCCAACAGCTGCCTCTACATAGGGCCTGGTGCGTTCACGGACATGGTCATGGTTATCACTCCATTCCCTCTCATGGCTCTCGAACTGAGTTCCGGGTTCTACGCCTGAATCATAAACACCAACTGCCGGTCCATAATATCCAGAGGTTGACCAACAGTCAGAGCATTGTCTTTCAGAAATCGACTGCTCTTCCCTGCCATAGCTGCTGTTGTAATTTGCGCCTGGTGATATGTACATGTGAGTATCTGGACGTTCCAGGGTTATATTTCCATCCCTATGAATATGTTCAGGAAGAGACTGACCTTCCCAGTAGGGTTGCTCTAATTGCATCTGATCTCTGTGTCCATCTGAATGTGGGTGTGTGACAGAATCCCCATGGCTGTACTCAAATGGCAGAACTTCTCTTTGATGCCTGTCTTCAATGGCAGTGTTCCTGCTCCATTGGCTAGTTTGCTCAGTGCTGCTCTCCATTTGCCCAGTTGCTCCATGAATCTCATGCCACTGATCAACGTGAACATGTGGTTCAAGTGCGTGTGATGGCATTGCCCATTGGTCGGATAGTGAAACCCGTTCTGATTGGATGTCATCTGTGTTGCTTTCTGATTGGCCAATTGCATCTGGAATCACTTGCCAATGCTCACCATGAACAGGCCTCGCATCGGAGGAGTTAGAGTACTTGGATTGTGCTTCCCATGCAGCCACCGCAGGTTCCCATCCGTCAGTTAGTCCTGACACTGTATCTGGTGCGAAACCTCCTGTCCTCTCATCAGAGACCAAACCTGCACTCTCCCTGCATTCGTCGCCACGCAGAAATTGCGATGCTCCAGTGCTGCTGCCCGCTTGTACGCGGTGGCTCGAAACGCCACCCTGCTCATCGCCAATGCGCCACTCGCCCACTTGCTGAGCTGCCTCAGCGAGACTCGACCCAACCAGGACTATTCCAAACCCTTTTGAGAAGTCAAGAGGCTTGGCGTCAGATGGGACAGGTCCTGGCTCGGGTCCAGCCACTTGCCCTTCCCCTACGGCGCAGTAGTAGCCTCGTCGCTCCTCCTCACCGTAACTTCCCACTTGCGCCGACATCAAGAACCCGGGAGGCGATGACGCCCACGATGATGCCGACCCCGCTCCCATGGAATCATTTAGGTGGTGACTTTGCTCTTCTCCTGGAATAAAATAATGTTCATCACTCCTCCTGTCTTCCAGATAGCAATCATCTCCTTGACCTTCTCGCGAGCCCATCCTGTCTCCCTGCCCTTGCCTCTGCAAGTTCATCTGCTCCTGGCTGCTCCTCCGGTCGCTCCGCCGCTGCCCGCCAGCGCCGCTCGTTCCTCCCTTCAAGAGTGCAGCAAAGCGCTTGCGCAGGCGCACGCACGTAGCTCCATTAGTCTTGGTCACAGTCGCAACGGCGTTCACGCATTGCTTGAAGCATTGACGAGAGCGCTCTCTCATCTCCGCATCCCCCGACTCTAAGAAGTCGCGGAAGTGCTTGCGCAGATCAGCATTCGGCACTTCCCCACCGCGCGAAACAAGGAAGTTCAGGACATCATCCTCGCTCAGTCCTAATGCAGCCATCTGTTCGTACGCACACACAAACAAAACTTGCACGCATTCACCAACAGTTCACACACATGCAGTAAACATAATATTACTAAGTTCCTTAGCACCATCACCTGGACTTTAAGACCCTCATTACTAAGACTCCGGGATCACCACCAGAAACTTAGAAACCCTCGTCATCTGAACCCAGGACACCTTCATCACCAGATTCACGATGCCACACACCAATCAGCAAGACCTGATTCACCTGGACCTCAAAACCATTAGCATCTAAAACTTCAGATCCTTACAACGAAAACGGGGCCTTTCATCACTGGAAGCATTATTACCTCTACAGCAGGATATCTGGATCCCAAAATCACCATCATCAGGCCCCTCATCGCGTGAACCCTCATCACTTCGACCTCCACACCCTCATCACGTGAACCCCTTCACCTGAGACTCCACACCCTCACCGCGTGAACCCCTTCACCTGAGACTCCACACTCTCATCGCGTGAACCCCTTCACCTGAGACTTCACACCCTCACCGCGTGAACCCCTTCACCTGGGACTCCACACCCTCATCGCGTGAACCCCTTCACCTGGGACTCCACACCCTCATCGCGTGAACCCCTTCACCTGGGACTCCACACCCTCATCGCGTGAACCCCTTCACCTGGGACTCCACACCCTCACCGCGTGAACCCCTTCACCTGGGACTCCACACCCTCATCGCGTGAACCCCTTCACCTGGGACTCCACACCCTCATCGCGTGAACCCCTTCACCTGGGACTCCACCGCCCTCACCGCGTGAACCCCTTCACCTGAGACTCCACACCCTCATCGCGTGAACCCCTTCACCTGGGACTCCACACCCTCATCGCGTGAACCCCTTCACCTGAGACTCCACACCCTCATCGCGTGAACCCCTTCACCTGGGACTCCACACCCTCACCGCGTGAACCCCTTCACCTGGGACTCCACACCCTCACCGCGTGAACCCCTTCACCTGGGACTCCACACCCTCATCGCGTGAACCCCTTCACCTGGGACTCCACACCCTCATCGCGTGAACCCCTTCACCTGGGACTCCACCGCCCTCACCGCGTGAACCCCTTCACCTGGGACTCCACACCCTCATCGCGTGAACCCCTTCACCTGGGACTCCACACCCCCCGACTCCCGAAGTAAACCCCTGAAGTGGGGTCATCTGCTCACCTTGCCGCGATAGGCGGGAGGTCGAGTCGGGGAATCTCCACGAAGCGGGCCGTACAATTCAGCACATCACGACGACCACGAACTCGAGCACAACAACCGACGCGACAACAGCAACAACAGCAGCAGCAAGCGGCAGCTTCAGACGCGCGGACACCACCACCAACGTCGCATCGCCATTCGCGCCCAGGTGTCACTTCCGGAGCCAAGGTGCCCGAGGTGACGTGATGCGCCTGACGTCACGCGATGTTGATTTAGATTCCTTAGTCCGCTCGCGCACGGGGGAGGGGGTCTCGCTTTGTTTCTCGTAGCCCGGGTAAGCGCGCGACTGTCTCGGCTACGGCTTCCCACCCACGAGACCGAAAATGGGTGTTCGGTACCACCCACTGTGAAAATTGCTTATAATTATATTCTGGCTGTATTTTATCTATGTACCACTAATGTTTTAGATAGCAAGGTCAGGGTGATAGCTTTTAATGAGAAATATGTCGATTATAGAATACCATAATACAGTATATTGTTTTGGAAAGACAGTACAACACATGTGACATGAAACATCCCCCGGAATTTGAAAATAAATAAATGAGGTGTGTCTCTAAAGTTTGACATTTTGTAAGCCAGTATTTTTGTAAGCCAGTGGTGAATACTGCATAGGTATTTGCCCATCAGGTGGGACCGACCAACCCCTGCTTCTATAAAAGTGGGGTGTTTGTGGAATGTGTGCGGCGAGTGTTATAGCAGAGTAAAACACGCAGGGCTTAAAACTTGATTGGGAGCTTTTGTGACTGCAGGAATGACTATTTGGTTCTTTCGGTAAAGTCACGTAGAAAGAAAAAATAATTAAATAATAGCGTACGACGTTTCGATTGCAACACAAGCAATCATCATCAGGTACGAATGAAAGAGAAAACAAACCTAGTAAACTTAGAAAATGTATGCAATACAACACAGAGAGTCGGCTAACATAAGTCAACACCCTACCTGGTTGATTACGTTCTTCCAAGGATTGCTAAATTTGAGAGAGAGAGAAAACACAGACACGAGACACATAGACAAACACATAAGCAGAGAGCGATAACACAGAGACACACAGAGAGATACACACACATAGGCACACAGAGACTGCAGGAAATACTCGAGAGACAACACGAGGACACAGAGAGAGAGAAAACTCACTGCATCAAACAAACTTAGTACAATTTGGAAATGTAATGCAATGCAACACAGAGAGTCGATCAACACACAATTAGCGCATAGCCTGGTTGATTACGTTCTTTCAAAGATTGCTGAATTAGAAGTTAAGTGTGACATTTTGGGAGAGAGACAAGACACAGACACGGAAACACAAAGACAGACACACAAGCAGAGAGAGACAACACAGAGACACACACAGAGAGAGAGAGACAACACAGAGACACACACAGAGAGAGAAAACACACTAAAAAAAGTGGCTTAGTTTAATCTTTGGTTATTTCGGTAAAGTCACGTATAAAGATAAAATAATAAATTAAATAATAGCATACGACGTTTCGATTGCAACACAAGCAATCATCATCAGGTGTAAATGAAATAGCAACAAAAAATCTAACCAGAAAACTATAGACAGACATATAAGTAGACAGATATCATCAAGATACATAGAGAGAGAAACACAGGTACAGAGAGGGGGATCGTATCTATGGGGTGGCCTCAAATAGGCAGAGGGGGCGGGAGCAGAGAGATGGAGGGGGGTTAGAGAAAAAATGTACATGTCAATGAGTACGGAAAAGAGGCGTAGTAATGTACGCAAGCTTGAACATTAGGAGAAAGAACACACTAAATTAAATAACCTAGCAAAATATCGAAATGATATGTAATACAACACAGAGAGTCGGTCAACACACAATTAACGCATAGCCTGGTCGATTACGTATTTCAAAGATTGCTAAGTTAGAATTTAAGTGTGAAAATTCCAAAGAAAGACAAAACATAAAACAAAAGGAACGGAGACACACAGGCAGAGCAGACCATAAGCACGACAAAAAAACGAGTGTTTACAGAAAAAAGTACACTAAATACACAGGCAGAGAGAGAGAAAAAGATAAACTTGGAACTTCCCCGTAGAAGTGGTTCAATCTTAATTTTAGAGCTTTCGTGACTGCAGGAATTAATATTTGGTTCTTTCGGTAAAGTCACGTATAAAGATGCGAAACGTCGTATGCTATTATTTAATTTATTATTTTATCTTTATACGTGACTTTACCGAAAGAACCAAAGATTAATTCCTGCAGTCACGAAAGCTCTAAAATTAAGATTGTCTTAGTTTATTATCATGCCACACTGTATCCAGTATATCTCTCGCTATGGCTCGTAACGTGCCTATCGAAGTCCACATGATAAAACTCTATAAGTTACAGTCGATGTACATAATACATTGTTATAAGAATAATAGTACGTCCCAATGTTGCAGGTTCCTGCAACATTGGGACGGTTGGCCAGTCCCATTCGTGAGAGTTTGGCTTCTCGTGGGAAAAAAACACCAGAGAACGTGGAGAAATCCCACCAAAGATGTCACTCAAAGTTCCGTACAGATGGATTTAGTAATAAATTTCTGTATTGTCATCTCGTGGACACCTCGCAGCCAATTTAACACGTCGGCTTTTGCGACCAATATTATATTTACTACTATAATGAGCCAAGAATGTTTGTGTGTAACGCGTGTGATGTCACTCCACATGCCGCACCCCCCGTCATTAATATTCATGAGCGGGTGGATTTTTACACTCACGCAGAAGATGGAGCAGAAATATTTTTTTTCGCAAATTCGCTTTAAGTTTGACGTTTCTTTATTGAAAGCGAATCTAATAAATAATTCTACGCAGCAACAAAGTGGATTTGGTGTCTTTATTTCTTCAGCACTTGAGACAAAAGGTAAGTCTAATTTATGATTCTACTTTATGGTAAAATAGACATTTCTCGGTGATTTTCCAGATATTGTATCGAATTCCAATTTACTTTAACACCAGTGTCAGAGCAGCGAATTTGAACAAATTGAAGGTCATTTATATACAGTGCTACAGTGACATGAAGTGAGGTGTTTTATAACATAGTTTAGTGCAAGAATCACTGCCATTAATACAGTGCTGCAGTGAAATGCATTGAAGTGTTTGATGACTTACTTTTGTGCAAGATTTACTGCCATTAAATTTACACAAGATACAATTATACTCTGCTAAATTTTAGTAAATATTACAGCTTCTGTCCTAGGACGAGCAAAGAAGCTAGTTCATTATAATGGTTTTTGGGGTAGATTGCCTAAGTATAAATGTGTCGAAACCCTCCACCACCCGACACGACCAATCAGTAAGGGATTTGTCACGTTGAAGAGTGAATCCACAACATTTACAATCTGAGTACGACGTTTCGCTGGTAATTACATCCAGCATCATCGGGCGATTTGCCAGAATAGCTTCCGACGACAGTGTCACATTCAAGCACTAACCAGGGTAAATTGTTTACACAAGTGTTATTATTTACAGTAGAGCAAATTGTGTATCGTTGAAATGAGGGATGATTTTAAGTTTAGGTAAATTTGAGTTGTTTTTTTTCTCTGTGACCTGACGTTTTTGTTAGTAAAAAACATAAATAGAAACTGAAATAAGTAAAAAAAAATAAAGACTGCAGGGATTCATATTCTTGGTTTTTTCGGTAAAGCCACGTAGAAGGGAAATAATATAAATATTAAAAAAATTATTTTATTTAATAAGAAAAAAATGTAATGGCTAGCATCTCGAGAGTGAGCCCCGTTGGGTTGGCGGCCGGGCCGCTACCCGCCATATCTCTGCACTGAGACCGGGAGGCCCCGCTCGCATGCCGCGGGGGGCTCGGCCCTTGGGGGGCTTCTCTGCCCGTTGGGCCCGGGAGGCGAGCGGGGCTCGAGACGCTGTTCCAGCGCCTGCACTCACTGCGGCAAAGCTGTGCGAGGTCCGGGGACTTTCCCCTAGGCCCACGTGGGGCCTAGATGGCGAGTCTTCAGGATGCTAACCACGACAAGCAGGGTGTCTCGACCCATATTTATAGCATGGCAGTTAGCGGTACATCTACGCCATGGGGATACTCTGTCCTTTTTTATGCTCGCAGCGAGCTAAATGCTTTCTCTTTATATAGGAAAAAAAACATTCATATACGGCAATGAAGGTATTTGTTTTCAACGAAAGCAGAATGGGTACCTTTTTTAAAATAAAAACATAAGTTTACCACGGCACCATATATTATGTTAATTAGGATCGATCGTCATCGCCTACGCGCCATCATTGAGAACAACAGTGAATGTGCTGTTCAAACATTGACTGCCTCTACGCTATAGGGACACTTTTTTTTATCGCGCGTCGTATGCAATCACACGTTAAATATGTTTTATATAAGTTGATTCATAAAAGAGGTTTACATTAACTAAACGTGAAAACACGCATAATTTATTTACAATGAATAAAAACAGCTTCGTTTCCCCTCGGCAGCATAGATTATGTTAATAGCTCTCACGTGCATTTAAAATAGTTGGGCAGTTAGATTCCCCACCTAGGATAAGCGAGGCACCGCCTTAATCGGCGCCTGATTGGTGGGAAGGCGCCTGATCGCCTGCGCGCCAGCCAATGGGGACACCGTGCGGTGCTTCATTTCAAACAACCGCCTATCCGCTGTAGGTAATCTAAGCGAGTTGCTTGTTCTTGCACCAATGGAATATTACATTATTTCTTTTTTGAGGACCATCGAATACACAACTACAGCGATAATTTTTGTTCTCGTTTTTTGGATTATAAAAAAGTCAGATTTGCACTCGAAGACATTACTAAATAAAGGTATTTAAATTACAAGTTGCTGGCATAATGCATTGTGTGAAGGTTTGTTGTGCGATTACCATTGATTGGTGGAGACCTCCTGCCGGTGTCGGAGACCTCTCCCTCATTAACATAAGATGCCCCGCCCATCTCTAAACCTTTATAGACAGCTCTTTGATTGGTGTAGACCTCCTGCCGGTGTCGGAGACCTCTCCCTCATTAACATAAGTTGCCCCGCCCATCTCTAAACCTTTATAGACAGCTCTTTGATTGGTGGAGACCTCCTGCCGGTGTCGGAGACCTTTCCCTCATTAACATAAGTTGCCCCGCCCATCTCTAAACCTTTATAGACAGCTCTTTGATTGGTGTAGACCTCCTGCCGGTGTCGGAGACCTCTCCCTCATTAACATAAGTTGCCCCGCCCATCTCTAAACCTTTATAGACAGCTCTTTGATTGGTGGAGACCTCCTGCCGGTGTCGGAGACCTCTCCCTCATTAACATAAGTTGCCCCGCCCATCTCTGAACCTTTATAAACAGCTTGTCCTCAGAGGCTAACCACCCTGTTCCTGATGACTGCTTGTGTTGCGATAAAAGCGTTGTGATATTTTTATTATTTTTGTATTCACTTTTATTATTTTATTGTTATTTTTTTTATCTACGCGACCGAAAGAACCATAGAATACGATTAACATTTAAAAGGTGTCCTTTGGTATTTATAGTATTGTGATTTTCTACGCTACGTCGTCTGACGTTACATACACGTTTTTGTGTATAATGTAATCGTGGATGTATCTTTTGTTAATGAACCTGTGTATGAAAGAAAAAGAATGCCTACGTGTTTTTAAAGAAAATACAGATTAGTTTACCTCTAGAGCATAAATTATGTTAATAAATTCCGCGCGTGCGCAGTCGGTTTCATTTAAATCGTACGGCGGTCGGCCGTAGTGCCGCCCCGACGATACATTTCCCACCACGGATAAACGAAGCCCCGCCTCGTTCGGATCTTGATTGGTTGCGTTTACGTCACCGCCTACGCACCAACCAATGGGGTCGCGTCGGCTACTGCCGTCGGTGACAGTCCATCCAATCGGGTGGCTCGGAGGGGCAAACGGCGCCTATCCGCTGTAGGCAATATAAGCGGGTGGCACCGCCTGTTCATGCCCCATCGGAGCTACACGCAGCGCCTTACAGCCAACTCACGGTGAGTGGGGACCAACGTTAAACATTTAATTTTCTTATTTTTTTATTGAAGCCGATATCGAATCCAATTACAACGCGGATTTTTTTCTCGCCTTTAACTCTTAACTCGCGCTCGGTTAGCGGTTGGGAAGAGCGTTTCTTTACAAGTGAAAATTCGTCGTCGTTTTTGGGCCCGCCGATTGTGGCTCCGCCGTGGTTGCGGATAAGGAATCGTGGCCATGATTTTATTTTTTTTCGCTTTGCCCCGCCGCGTGTTTTTCCCCTCGACCCGAGCGGAGGGGAAACAAACGCCGCCACGATTTAATAAATTCTGTGGCGATTTTTAATCCGTCGCGAGCGAATTTGCTTGTAAACCCCGTGCCGGGAAGGGGGAAGCGCTTCCCACCACAGAGAGGGCCTCCTTTGTTCGCAGTGACATGGCCGCCCTTCTGCCCGCGCCGCCGTTGCGCCTTTTATTTAATTATTTACATCATCATCATCATCCCGCCCTCATTCATTCATTATTTCTTCTTCTTCCCTCCCCCACCGCCTCTCCGTTAAATTCATTATTTACTTGTTACTGCTGTTTGTGCTGAGCAGCCGGCCCAACCCGGTTTAACGCAGTTTCACAATAGTTTTTTTTGTTGGTTTCCTTGTTAAGTTTTTTTCTCTTTCTCCTCCTTCACCGCGGGCGGTCTCTTTATCTCGTTGGGTGCAAGGAGAGACGCAGGTTTTGTTGGCGGCACTTGAGACCCGGGACATGGTTTTTTAAGACCTTGTTACTTGGAAGACCTGGTTTATGTTAAAATAAATTCTGATACATCGGGGGGAAATGTTTAAATCGAAAGGGTAATTATACCAGGCCTGTAGGGGGAGACCTGGTTCGCAAGGAAAATGAGGCTTGTTAAAACGAGGAACACGAGTTGAGGTATTTAATGAAGACCCGGTACACAGGTTAAAGGAGAAATGGTCTTTATGGGACATGGTACAGTACACACACAAAAAAAAACCAGGGAGACCTGGCACAAAGGGAAAATGTCACCTTATCGGGTAGATCTAATCCATTAAGGCACCTTAAACCTGCCAGTCTTAAGTTAGTTTTATTTGACCAGGTAAGGCCCACTGAACTATACAGTTTATATTTTTCATAAACGACCTGTCTTCGGTAAGTCAAGTAGAAAGAAATTAAATTAAATAATAGAATACCTGTACACAAATGGTAAGCTCAAAGTAAGTGGCTTATGTGGAAATATATAACAGCCAAATATTATAAACGCATGTTTCTAAATGTGGAGGGAAAAACCTGAGGACCCGGAGAAAAATCCATGCGACCACGTGGAGAACAAACTCCAATATACCGGCTGAAATAGCGTTATTTAGTAAAAAAAAATTTAAGGAATAAAGTAGAAGCCTGGGAGTTAATAATACACTTGAGCAGCGTGCAAAAATAGTTAGCATTTTTTTCCGGAACAATTCAATTATTTCAACAGAGACTATCGCAGATATTTTAAAACTCAAAGGACTCCAACTCCACCGTATTCGGGCGTTGATTTTCCGGTTTCGGGAATCGGGAACAATGAATATTGGTACAGAACTTGCATCTTTTTCCATTTAAGATTCAGCTGGTGCAAGAATTGCAGCCTAGAGACCATCATAGTCGCCGAGAGTACTCGTGGGCTTTTATTGAACTTGCAGACCAAGACGATGCTTTCATTACAAATTTAATGATGTCAGATGAAGCAAATTTTCACCTTGGCTTCGTCAAGAAACAAAATTGCAGGTTCTGGGGTTGAGTAAAAATAATTCTATCGAATCTCCATGAATTCAATAATTTTCTATCCTTTAGTTAGTTTTTTATTTTTCGAAAGTTATAGGCAAAACAAAACGGGTAGTTACTTATGGCCCCCACCATCAGGGTCGCCATCGAATTTACCTATTTAGGGAGACCTGGCACTTCGAGAAAATGAGACTACATCTATGAAGAGACTTGGTTCATATGAATACAGAACTGATCCATAGTGACACCTCTTATGTGATTCATGGACACAATGAGGCAAATCCCATTGAGCCACATGAGACCTGGTCATGGGATCACTGAAACTTGATTTAACATGTACAGGGAGATTAAATCTAGTCTTTGGAGAACTAGTTTATGGAGACAAATTTTACCCAAGATCGTACTAATAGTAAAAGGAGACTGAAACCTACTTTATTGGGATGAGCACATTGATCTGTGTACATGAGACTTGATTCAGTTACGTGGTATTATTGAATTCGAAGGAGTTTGTGGCAATGTTGCTCATGACTACTCGTGCTGGGTGTGCAGATTAGCGCCATGGGACGCGGCGACCCCAGCAAGCCGCGCGGGCGCATGTCGTCCTACGCATACTTTGTGCAGACGTGTCGCGAGGAGCACAAGAAGAAGCACCCCAACGACTCCGTGGCTTTCACCGACTTTTCCCGCAAGTGCAGCGAGCGCTGGAAGGTAATCTCCCACTTCTCTATAAACACTGCAAGCCGAATCAAATATATTTTAAGATTCCCTGAGGCTTGTTAAAAGATCGTTATTTTTTTACAGGATATTGCATGTAGGCTAATGGAGCTAAGAGTAAAAGGATAAGATTGGACAATCGAGACAAATCTTGCAAATCACATCCCAGAATCGTCACAACGCCTCTTAGCCTGTGGGGTGAATCACTATATGCCTAAATATTACTATTGAGATGTCTAGCCAATTGTATGGTCCACAGTGTCGTCTAATGAGAAATATTTGCTCCAGGGGTTGTCTCCAAAGGAGAAGCTGCGGTTCGAGGACTTGGCGCGTGCGGACAAGACTCGCTATGACACCGAGATGAAGGACTATGCCCCAGCGCGTGGTGGACGCGGCGGCCCTGCGCAGCGCAAGAAGAAGGACCCCAACGCCCCCAAGCGGCCCCCGTGTGTTCCCACGCCTTTTACACCCAACATGCACCATTACACACATCGTGTGAAAATGAACGTGTATACGGGGTGGGGAACCTCAATTCTGGCCGCGCCACTTGATTTAAGACGGCCTGTAGTCTACTTCAGAATGGCTCTCAAATTATAGTTGTCACTGCAATCGTCTTGGCTGCACTAATGGATACTAGAGTTTAGTGTGTTTTAACTGGAAACACTTTATAAGTTTGGTGTGCTCAGGCAGTGATAAGTGACTGAGGTGTCACTTCAATGTGTGGATACTGATCTGGCCCTCTGTAAGGAATGGCAATTGGAAAGGGTTCCCTGCCCTTGGTATATATTATATGCCTGCCAATACTGTGCACAAAACTACAGTGTACACTGCATAGGCTTGTTACGTATTTGCACCCAGCTTGCATATGGTACTGTGCTGCCCTATTGTGCTTCTCTGCTGGCTGTATTGCTTCCATGGCTGTGCTTTCTGATGTGCGAGGAGGGAGGAGGGGGGTTCCGTTGTCTTGCGGGGATTCTCATGCATGGCTCACGATGCACATGTAACTGCTTCCCCCGCCCCAGGTCCGCCTTTTTTATTTTTTGTGCCGACTTCCGGCCGCAGATCAAGGCGGACAACCCTGGCATGGTGATTGGCACCATTGCCAAGCGACTCGGGGAGATGTGGGGTCGGCAAACAAATGAAAACAAAGCTCCGTACGAGCACAAGGCCAACATACTCAAGGAGAAGTACAAGAAGGTACAATGCTTTCATTTCTTCCAGCAGTCAACACACTTGTTACTGGCTGATTTTGAAGCCTGACTGTTTAAATTCCTCAAGCTGATGTAATTATATTTGGGAATTACTGCTCGAAAATATTTAAGATCCCGTGCCTTTTTTCCAAGAGTGGACTTTTGTGTAGGTGCTTAATGAAAATATTATAACTTTGAACGTATGGAAAAATAACCCCTGTGCTGTCTGGGTCTCGGTTATTTAAACATCATCGTGCTCGTCAAGGCATTGAGTCGAATTGCAGTACCGCAGTGGATTTCTCTCCGTTTTTCCACATTCGCAAGCAAGCTCCATAGAGCCTTATGATAACCTGGCATACAGATGCTGCTCTGGTTAGTTCCTGAAATCTAAATATTGGGACGTGTGCCTGGGTGACTTGCTGGTGGGGCGCATCTAAGCAGGCATGTGTTGTTGTCAACGCAGGATGTGGCTGCGTACCAGCGCTCAGGAGCAAGTGCGAGTGGTGCACACAAACCAGCAGCAGCTGCTCCCAAGCGAGGAAAGCCGGCCGCGACAGCTGCAGCGCCCGCCCGTCACGATGATGACGAAGACGAAGATGACGAGGAGGATGAGGAGGGAGACGACGATGATGACGACGACTATGAGGATGACGAGTGATTGCGCCGTCAGACGCCGGCGATCAGCTGGGTCTGATGAGGCATGGGGAGGCGAAGCCTCTAGGCGGCCGATTGCCAAGAAGCAACTGCATAACGGTTGCTGTTAGTAACGTGTTTTCTTGGGCAGTCATTTTTAATGTTAACCTGTTAAGGAACAGCAGGGTTTTGTGTGTGCGTGTGTGTGCGTATATATGTATAATTTATATATATACACATGTACAGCTCCCCCATGCAACGCGTGCCCGTGCGCTACTGGTTTATTTTGTAACGGTTGTTTTCTCTTTTTTGTTTAAGTAGCCCGTTTTATGCCAATTTGACGTTGGATTAATTAAAAACGTGTACATTTTATCTGTTCTGTCATTTTTGTTGAAGTTACATTTGGAATTGTCATTAATATCGCTATAAAACTTGCACGAGACTTCTTTGAAGTTAACACAAAAGGTGGAGGGGGATGTACTTTTGAAGGGTGTGTGGAATCAAGGATAAAGCAATTTGTGCGCAAGCCTTTTAACAATTTGTGCCCAGCACAGGTTAGGAATTGTCTAATTTGGCGTTTTGATTCATTGATGTGACAGGATTGTGGTGCGGTGTAGCTGTCGCAAACGCCATTACAATACACCAACCACGTATTTTCTCAGAAGTTTAATTTTGTGCACATCGTTATTTAAATCGATACATTATTACTATGCAGTTGGGCACATCTACAATGAGGGTTAATTTCAAGTGATGAGGTGAACGACTGCCAGGGGGAATTTTATTTTCCAAAGTAACAGCACTGATTTGGTGTGGCTGTACATGACCAACTTTTTAACATATCCTGTGATCAGAATATAGCGTCATCCCAGAATCGTGGAAGCATTAGTGTCATCTTTTGACAAATCAACTCTTGCTCCTGGCTGACGTTTCTTGTCCCTGGGCCCAGCAGGACGGCACTTGCAAGCCCCTCTGGTTATCTGCTCTGCTGTAACTCCTGTGTACTCCCCCAATTGCCTCATTCGCATGCAAAAAAGCATTTCCTTTTGACATCCTTGAGCCAGTAGGTATTCAGAATTCCTTTTGCAGATGCCAAGCTCTCTACAGGACAGTTATTTTACTGGTAGGAACCTGGTTACACCAGCCCACAGGGGATTATTGTGTCTGTCCGTCGTGCAGGGAAGGGCTGGTCACCCCGTGGTGCCCTAATAAAACTCAACGTTTAACCTACTCACGCCGGCTTGTTCCCACCCTCAGTCGGGCATATTTGCGGAATACACCACGCTGCCGTTGACCCTGGCCATTGAGCAACCCAACGTTCCTACCAGCTCCCTCTGCAGGAATGTGTTAAACCCCAAGCATGGTACTGTAATGTATTCACGCTGGATGATTGTAGGGATGGGAGGTGTTGATTTTCCTACTGATTATTCCATTGTCCAAGAAATTGCACGTGGAAGTTTTTTTTTGTCAGCCATGATCTATCTGCTTGGAAGAAGGCTTCTCCAAATGACCATCAGTCCCATGATGCCACTAGGTCCAGCACATGAGTTGTTCCATACAAAACATCCAAGTAGAGCCGTATTACACCCCTGCATAACGTCATGTTTCTGATTGTGTCCGTGAGCACAAGTCAGATCTGAAACACGGCAGAACTGATTCTTCGGTCGTTGCCGATCATTGCTACAACTCGGTGGGCTCTCATGAAATTGTCTTTTCCGAGACCAAAGTTCTCTGCAAACCTCCTGGCTACCATCAAAGGTTTGTACACGAAGCCATACAAATATACAAACACATAATTTCAACCGTGATGACGGTTACAAACAGTAATCATTGGAAAGATGTGATTAACCATACAAAAAAGATTTAACTACACTTATTTGCCAATCTTATTTGACATAACTATTACAGTTTTACCATGTTTAGTGGTTGTCTCCCTGTAACAGGTTTATTCACAAACCGTACCTCTCCATAACAAAGGCTCACCCTCTTAAGCCTCACCTTACCATATTAATAAAAAGCATGCGGTCCTTGCCCTACCACCTCCAACCATTATATAAACGGAGTGGTAGCTCCTGCAATCTCTCATTTACTTGATACAGCTGTCGTGGCTGTGACGGTCCCACCTGAGGACGGAAGCTTGTGTTGCCTCCGAAACGTGATTTTTATTTAATTTTACTTTTTTAATGTTTAACCTACGTGACTTTACCGAAAAAACCTAAGAATATGAATCCTTGCAGTCACGAAAGCTTCAAATCTAGAATCCTGGGAGGAGTGTTGCATCGTGGAGTTGGTGGCAGCGATTTAGGGAACCCTTCGTCGAGCGGTGCACTGACCGTGGCTGATGATGCATCGTGAGCTCATTCATGAACTCGCCCATGAAGCCGGCGCATTGTATATTCACATAAACGACGTGGCAAGCGATGAATATGTATTTAGTTGTGGGGTAATTAGCATTTGATAGCCGTTGCAACATTTCTGTGCATAATGAGGCGTGTCAGCAGTTACCCCCGCTCCTCGATTCAACTAATCATCATGGTGCGATTATAGACTGCATTTCTCGCGTGATCATTGACACCAGCGTTCCTCATCGCGGGGCCACTGGCGGCCCCCGACAATACATCATCGTCGTGCTGCTGTCAAGCCCCCAATGGTTTCAAATGTGTGACGGCCCTCACACTGACGATGTCTCTCCGGTGAAAGTGGACACCTCCCTGAACATTAGGGAAGAACATTGACTGAGGCGGCCTCGTTGTGTCTCAGTGGATCTTAATCCATTCTTACTCGCGGTCGATTTGACTCGAACAGAATCGATTGGCGGTAATCGATAAACCAATTAATCGCTACGTTCTGGTTCGACACATTACAGGTTACATCACTTGGTGGCGCTGCTGTTGCTGCTGGCAGTGGTGGACAGACAATACAAAACTCAACACATTCAACAAACACACTGGTCCTAAAAACATGTAATAGGCGACGTTTCGGGCAATGACCCTTAATAGCACCTCACTCGCGTGTGTGCTATGTCGACCCATACACATGTGCTCTTTAGTTAATGCGCGTGTGTGCTGGCACATTGTGTTCTATGAAGACGTCCCATTACCCGAAACGTCGCATATGTTTGCCATGTGGTTTAAATACAGCCACGTGGTGACGTCGACTCGAGACGACGCGTGACGTCACTCGCAACGCTCAGGCAACCTGCACCAATCAGCGCTTGAGTTGTTGGCAAAGACGTCATCACGCAGGGGCTCGGCCGCCTTACGTGATGACGTCACGAGCGCCCCCCCCCCACCCCCTTCCATGTCAGCAGCGTTCGACACGCGATGCATTCGAGGGCTTGCGAAAAAGTTACTGAAAGCAACCAAATCGGTTGTTAGTCAATGACCGCTGCGCCGCCCGCCTGACCGACGCCCGCCGCTGTTTATCTCAGGTTTGGCCACCTTTAATTGCCTCCCGCGGTCTCTTCCCGCCGCCACCCACCCCCTGGTCCGAGCGTCTCGCCGCCTCGGGATCCCGGCGCGTCTCTTTCGGCCGGTCGGCCAGGCGAGCCCGAGGCTCCTTGCCGGGGTAGGCCTTGAATATCCTCGGGTCGCCTCGGCTCAGGCGGCGTTCCTCGGGCTCGTTGGCTACCTAACTAACTAACACGAGAGAGTCGTCACCGTGTCCGCTAGGCACGGGCTCGCATCGCGTTGCCGGTCGCCTTAATCGCTTTTCATTGACGGCCGCCTCTCGCGGCAGAAAAGTTAGCGCGTTTTTAAAAACTCGCGCCGTTCTGATGCCTGAGTTTGGTTCCATGAGCGTCGATCTGTGTTAATCGCCTGAGCCTCTCCGTCGTGCTCGGTGTGGTGGTTGAATGTGACTTGTGTCCAGAACTGGAGTGGCTTTGTATACTGCATCGGTGTAGTGTGAAAACATCAGCAGAGGGGGGAGAACAAGACGTCTGTGCGTAGACACTGGCCACAAGCCACCCTCGTGATCCGTGTCAACCTTAATAGAGGCATTCGCTAACAATACTTTCCTCTACTGTCTACAATGGCTATGTGGCGGGTCTTTGTATGACTGTAATATCAGTCATTTTGTATGTGACGGGGAGCGGTGGTGCAGTGGTTAACGCATCTTTTTTCGACCACTGCTCGCATCATTGGCGAGTCTTGGACCTGCCCATGGTCTGCTCGTTATTGGGTACCTGGTGCGGTGTGTAAACATCAACACAACTGGCCATACAACCCCTGCGTGCGCCGTGCATCCCTTAATAGGTGATTGCCAACAACATTTCCCCCCAACAGTCTGTTCAGGCTATACGGGGGATCTTTGTCTTTGTACTTAGTGGTTTGCTCACTGAACTACGAACACGGCCGGCTACAAAATTTCGATTCCAAAGCACTGTCGGTGGCAAATGGAATATAAACCAAACCTTTGCCTCCCCTAAGTCCACTCGGCCTTAAATGAGTATCAGGTGCTCGACAGGAACACCATCACTGGAGAGATAAAAGAAGTCGGGCATGATATTGGCCACCATCCCTTGCTGTGTTGTGCTGACTTTAATAGGTGCTCGCTTACAGCAGGTTCTCATGAAATGCGTCGATTTGTTACCTTCACCCGATAGGTAATAATACATGTAGCCAAAAGCCATTGATAACGCTTCTCTAGATTTGTGGGAGAGATAAAAATCACAGTCCTCACCCAGGGGTTTCAAGTTCAGCTGACACGTGTATTTGGTTTAATCGCTAATTGTCACGCAGGGTGCAAAGTGTAATGCGCTACTACAGTTGGGCTCTTGCTAAACCTGTTTTCCCACCTAGCAGTGTTAATGTAATGCGCTGGAAAGTCCGAGAGAATGTTTCCGCACTCACCGCCCTCGTCCGACCAAACAACGTCTTCCGTGAAACCTACTTTTTTAACAGGACTAAGCGATACTCGTTTTTATTACCCCAATTTGTACCCGCATCAGGCAGGGGGAGTGGGATGGCATCGGCACCCTCCCGGGGAACGCGGCCCCCCTACATCGCGCTGTCACTGCTTCATGGCGACGAGGAGACGGAGGATGAGGAAGGAGGTGGAGACGAGGATGGCAGTGCCACCGAGGACGACCGACTGCTCAGCATGCAGCGTGGGCTTCACTATTTCACCGGCAGCATCTCGTCACCTCTAGTGTCAATGCTGACATCACCAGTGTCACACACCGCTCATCGCTGACATTGATTTTCATCTCATCCCTCTATGTAGTAGGTCTTGTTCTCCCCCTGCCTCTATGGAATATGCAAAACTCATTTTCCTGCGTCCTGATCAGCCCTCTATTGTTGTAATAGCCCTCCCCTATTGTATAGCTCGAGGGAGTAGCAGTGGCGCAGTTGTTAACGTAGTGCGCTATGGACCTGGTTACAGTGGTCTATTCCTGGTCATGGCTAACATCAGTGACGAGTGCTATCTGAACTGTTCTTGGATCCCCACGACACGATCCAGCATTGACCAACGTGGTGAATTACGTCCATACAACAACCCCCCATAACTGACATGATGTAGGGAACCCTTCATCCAGCAGTGAATTAACAAAGGGCTGAAACGAATATAAATAATGATCGTACAGCTTAATAACAATTGCAATTGGCTATCACGCGAATCATCAGTTTATTATGTTTTATATGTTGTCCCTACATCATGAGCGTCATGTTGCCATCATCATGATGGCCTGCATCTCCAGTACGATATTACCATCGGCATCACCATTGCCATTCTGCACTACAGAGACCATTCTTTACCAACCACGAAAGTTTGAACTGTGTGTGCACATAACCACTGCCACCAACATTATTACTGTCGTCCTTCTTGATCAGAAACTGCCTTAACATTGTGCAACATCTGCTAAACTGTGTGAATACAGAATGTTACGTTGTATTCCCTATTTCCACAACCTATGTATATTTGACTTCTTTCCCACCTGTACGTAGCCAACTGTGCTCATCGGAGGTCCGGATTTAATTTAGGAATTTTTCTTCTTCTTATACAAATATGCTGTCTGTGTTTGTGTGTTTCCTATGTTGGTCTGTGTGCATGTACACCATGTACATGTGAACCATTTCTACACCTGGTGTGTTACAATTATGCGTTGCAATTGTTGCGCCAATGAAAGAAATGGCAACCGACACGTTTAAATGTCGAAGTGTTCTCTGTGTAAAGTTTTTTGTCCAAATGAAGTATGTGGGAAAGTAATCTTTTCAGAATTCACATGTTGGCTATTTCCACTCCAGTGCACGACACCTTTACCTGTCTTGGGAAGCTCAGTTGCATTAGTCCCATGTGGTGGCTGCTGTACATCTTTAAAATGGTTATCTTAAATGAGCATTTTCAAATTGTGATGGTCAATAATTGTGCATAATTCACAATTCAAAGTGGTTTCCCACTTGGCTACTCAGCTGTGTACATCCCTGAATCGGTGCCAACAATTCAATTTTCCTATGGCATAGGTGAGCATAAATAGGATCAGTAACCTGTTTATTTTCTCTTAATTTACTGTACATATCAAGGGAGACTTAGCTCCATTAAAAAACAAACTGATTTGTATCACTTCCAATCATATCGATATACAGGTACATTGCGTACTCTTGCTTTGTGTAACTGGCTGCAGAAGCCTTCAGCCAGCAGTGCATTTGACAAACGGCGACACTTCCGAATTGCATGCGCAAGATCAATGTGGCAATGCAGAGGCATTGGTGACGCTCGCCTTGATCGAGAGGGACTCGTACAGATGGCCTTGAGTCAGTGGGCACATGTGGGGCAGCATTGGTGTGGTCGTGTGGTTGGCATGGGCCCTGGTGGAAGAAATTAAATGCTACCCCTACCCAACCCCGTCCAACTTCTTAAGTGTTCCACGCGTATGGGCCTCTTCGACCCGACGTCGTTCCTGCCGTGGTCGCACCGCCTCAACGCTATCGCAGCTTTGCCGCTGGCGAGAATAGGAATGCAGTCGCGGTCCCCGAATCACAAAGCGGCTGTAACTGGAACAAAACCAGAGCGCGTACAGTCCTTCTACACAGGGGGCAGAGCTCCGATCACTCAGACTGGGAGGTGGGGGGTGGTCTTGGGTGCTGCTCTATGACATCACCAGCCCTGATCATTGGAAGAGAGCTTCAGAGAGAGAGTGGGGGGGGAGTAGGGATCGAGGGAGAGGCAAGGAGAGAGAGCGAGCGAGAAACCGCGGGGTAACGCGGCGTGGCACGGCGGGCATGGCGTCCTCCTCGGGGAGCCCGGGTGTCGAGGACGAGGGCCCGCGGCTGTACGGGGACGGGGAGGCCTTGCCCCTGGGGCCCGTGAGGATGCACGGTGTGTCCCTGCGTGTGGCCCTGCGTGTGCGTGTCTGTATCCGCCTCGTGTCACACGGTCGTATTGCTGGAGATGGGGGGGCAGCTGCGTAGTGGGTAGCGTACTGCGCTTAATGAGTCGTGGTGAACCGGTTGTGGTGCAACTCGGGTTGGATTTCCGGCAAGTGGTTGTCGCATCATTGCTGATCTGTGCCGCCTCTGGGTCGACTCGGTGTTAACATGGAATGCGTGTTGCGCAATGTGCGTGCATCGTCATTGGAGAGATAAAGGCGGCCGTGGGTGGTGCTGGTGAGGCGATCACCCGTTGCGATTTCGGCCTTAATAGGTGCTCTCTAACAGTACTCACCCCTTCATTGTGGACTATTTTGTCCGTGTCTGTACGTGACCTCCGTGTGTCCGTACCGCCCCCGCTACACCTGCTCATGTTTAGCCTCTGTGTATATATATGCTTATCTCTACCGGTCGTGGGCCTCCCCTGGGTCGACCCAGCCTTAAATGAGATGCAGTCTGTAAACATCAGCACTAGGGAGACGAAGGCGGCCGGGCGTGGTGCTGGTTACACGATTCCCTTGTGCGTCATGCCGGCCTTTTTTTCAGCTGCTCCCTTGACAGCACTTGCCCCGAGTCTCGGATGGCTACACGGGACATCTTTGTCTTTGTTGCTCATCTGGGTTTTTGTGCATCTGGTTTATCTATTTGTGTTCGTTTTGTACCGCGTGTACGTTTCTGTGCACATGCGTTTCCGTATGTTGCGTCTCGGCGTCTGTTATCTGTGCGCACGTCTGTTTTTTTTGTTTCCGTCACCCTCTCGTGTGTTCTGTGAGTGTCTGTGTATCCGTTTACGCACGTTAACGTGTGTACAGTACATTCACATAACCCCTTTAGATCGTCCATCATGCGTGTCATCTGCCTTGGATGTCCTGTCAATTTGGTAAATGCTTACATTTACTCAATTACGTTTACAGATAGTGTACAGCGTAAATGTAACGAACCTGCCACAACGTATTTATTTAATCTTGAACGTACATAATGTGACAACGTACGTGTGTGTGTGTGCACAACAGCGTAGAGTATTTTGCATGGATTTTTTTTTCTGGTAAAAATTGTAAATGTCGCCGAGTTATGACTACGCCCCCCTCTATTGTGATTTAGACAAACATAAATACTGCACTGAATAATGTTCATCAGCGCACATTCCTGTGCGCAACACCACATCAACATATGAACACTGCCATGTTTGTATTCCTGTACCATGTGTGTACGCAGATAGTGAACTGCTGCAGTTTGTAATGCGTATGTATGCTCTTGTGAAACCATGCGTGTACATCGCTCTGTGTACGTGTTTGTGTTCATTCGTTGGTGCAAGACAATCGATTTGTACCGTTAAACGTGGGTATTTGCATCCTATGTACTTACATCTACCTGCCTGTTCCTGCGTACATGCCTCGATATACTTCCATACATGATCTCGTATGCCTGCATGTATATGTATACATACCTGCATGTGTACCGGGTTTTGTACATATATTTGGCAATCGGTCATGGGATATTGTTTGACTCTACTTCACCACCACGCTGGTCAGTGCGGGTTGGTGGTGGGAAGGCTCCCAGGACTAGTTCAGGTATCACTCGCTACCGATGCTAGCTGTGGCCAGGAATCCAACTCAGATTGCCGGGGTTGAGAGCGTGGTGTGCAAAACACCGTGCCACCGGTAATGCCTCATACATGTTTGTGTTTGTGCGACCAGGGATGTGGAATGGCCGGACAGATCCCTCGGATGATCCCCCTCCACCTGGCCTCGGTCTCTACGGAGACTTCCACACGATCGATTGGGTCCGCGAGAAGGCCCGCGACCGCCACCGCCACCGCAAGGCACGCTTGCACGACATCACCAAACAAGCGTCATTCGCGACTGACGGGGGCCGGTGGTGTCACCGTGACACTTGTGCCAGGCTAGGTGCACTTTGAGGTTGTGTGAATTGTCGAAGGCTTGCCTCCTGACAGGTCACGGGAAACGCACAAGGTCACGCACAAGTGTAGTGGCATCGGAGGATGCCACTGCATGACACGTAAGACCGACCTGTGTGTGAAGCGGGGGATACGCTGCTTACACCACCCACAGCACGGCAGTTGTGCGACATTGCACTCCGTGTGTAGGGCCAGCCCTGAAGGTTAGGGGGCGAGAGCGCCTGGAGCGGCGTAGGGGGTGACAGGGGGCCATGGCACTCCGGAACCACCATGGAGGGCGAGTGGCCGGAGGTACCGGGGGTGGGGCCCCCAAAGAGTGGGCTGGGGGACCCCGGGACTGGTTCCAGATGTCTCGGGAAGGTTCGAGAAGGGAGGCGTGCCTTGGGGCGGAGGAAGCCCCCGGACCGAGGATATAAGCCGGACCCCTGAACGGGTCTGCTGATTGTTGCTCACCTGAAGACATGAAGACGTCCTCCTGAAGAAGAAGCTGAAGACAAGACCCGGACTCGAGTCGGGTCCAGGCTTGACAGCCTTCCCCAGTTGTGTTTGGACTAGTTAGCCCGGAGAGATTACCTCTCTAGGTTACCTGGTGGAAGGGGCAGCTCCTACCCCTTTGTGTTAGGGTACATTGTTGTAATAAACATGTTGCCTCCAGAGACGCCTCGCTCTCCATTTATACCCACTACACAAGTAATAGTGAGCGCAAGGTGTCTAAACGAGACAGAAGGTTTTCATCATCAGATCGTCATCCTTTACCTTTGTTGTGCTGGAAGAAGGTCTCCCGGTGATGATGCCATCCCGATGTTCTGTGATACCGCAGATCATCGACTGCGCATTATCTTATCTTATCGCTCTGTTTCCATGGTGGCCATTCTCACATATGCGTTCTCTCATTTGGCTGCCTTTCCATCACTTGTCATGCCCATTGGCCATAATTCTGTGGATGTATCATTCAGAAGCCCATTTATTTGACAGTCAATATAATACTGTGTGCTTTTCCCCTGATGCACATGAGTGTGCATCTGACCATACTTCGTGAAAAAAAATAAAAACTTGCCTTCAGACACATTCGTGCGCTGTTTGGTTATTTTTGTTACTAAATTGTGTTCGTAATGTAATACTAAAAGCAGCAAGTAAGTTGCAGGATACAGTTAACAATATTGCATAATGTTTTAGATGTATTAACACGTACGCCAAATCATGTGATTCATAAATCGTTTTTGGGTTATGACCACGCAATTATCTGGCCAAATTTCTATCACCAGACCCTCCACTAACCGACACAGCCAAGCAAATGAAATTGTCATGTGTACAAGCGTTTAACGTGCCTCCTGATATTATTTTAGCTCACTGATAAGTTGAAGAAAAATTATCTGAAATTTTTTCAGGAAGTCAGAAAACCATGTCACCAGAGCCAGCTTATTAAACAGGTTCATGACATCCCAGGGACAATCAGATTTTAACTATATATTAACCATTACAAATTCATTCTAAGTTATATACAATTTATCTGAGCCAATGATTAACCACATATAGATTATTCATTTTAGCCACTCATGTAAATACTATTATGTAGTAGACTAGCATTATGTTACCAGAATGTTAAACAAAGTGTTAGAAATGTTATCATCATTGAGAATTATTGAATGCATCATATACTTCTTAGTAATATATTTCTGAGCCACACTTAATAATTTATTAAAATAAATATTCTACACCTACGCCCAATAAAGTGTGTTTTTGCGAGATTGAGGTAAATTGATCGCTATCGGGGGTGTGGTGTGCGTGTCGTGATGGTGTGTGGTGCACTGGCTCGCCGCTGCGGTTTGCGGGGCAGATCTCGAGCAAGAAGAAGGACTCGCGGTGGGACTACGTGAAGTGGGTGCTGGACTCCTGGTCGGGGTGGCTTGTGGTGACGCTCACGGGGCTCGCCGCTGGTACGGTGGGCGGCTCCTGCATGCACACACGCACACACACACACGGCTGGGCTTCTGTGCACGTCTGTGTTAAGATTATTGGAGCATTAGTAAAATGAAATGTAATACATGATACGGTCCTTTTGTCAAACCAATGCTGAATGTACATATGTAGAACTTCTTTCGCACCATACGTAGTCAACAGTGCTAATACGGAGGTGCGGGGGAAGAACAAATTTAACACAAAGTTGTAAAGAAATAAACTAATGAGGAATTTCTCGCGCCATGCGGGTCATGGTGGTTATTTAGCATTACTTCACCAAAAAACGAGGTGCAGTTTTGTGAAGATGGGGAGTGTAGACATGGGAGCATAGAAGTACAGTGCAATGATGGATACGGCAGCACTGTTCTTTACTGATCACCATATAGCCACGCAGCCTATAAACAACCTGCTGTACACTGTGGCCATTGAGCCAAGTGCTAAGATGCTTAGCTTGTGAGATCTAACAAAAATGGACACATTCCGTTTTATTTAGTTATGGTCAAATTTTAACGTGGAAAATTCGAATAAACTTTGAATAACGCTTGGTTAGAATTGATGTCGTGTCTCCGTGTCCAAATCGTTGTTGGGGGTGGCACTCGTCTTAATTGGATGTTCTGAGCCCATGCTGGAAATGTTTAATTTTAATTGCAGGGACCATAAAACACTGGTGGCTGAGTGCTCACAAGTGGTACTCGTTTCATCGACCCCAGTGGGATCACGGACCAAGTCAGCCCCGTGACTTGGATTTGAAATTCACAACCTTCGTATTGTCAATTCTGGCAGAGAGCCATTATTGAACTTACAGTAGTTAATCCTTACTAAAGAATTAGCTACTGGAAGGGAGTGGGTGGGGGGCGTATGTATCCGTGTGGCTCTGTCCGCGCTGATATTTCACGCGTTGTCACCACTGTGTAGGTGCGATTGCGGGTCTGATCGACATCGCAGCCGACTGGATGTCGGACCTGAAGGAGGGGGTGTGCCTCACGGGCCTGTGGCTCAACCGCGAGCAGTGCTGCTGGGGCTCCAATGAGACGACGTTCGAAGACCGGTACACCTGCCCGCTCTGGAAGAACTGGGCCGACTTCGTCATCGGCCAGCCCGACGTGAGTAGGAGTCGGGGAATAATGCCGGGGTGATGAGTTATGATAACAATGACCTGCTTACCCAGAAAATCCACACTGAGTGTAGATTCTTTTTCAGGAGGGACTTCCATTGGAATGTTTGGTAAGCACCATATTACATTGTGTGTTTTAGCTCTGGGAGGGAGCCATATAAAATCCATTCAGAACACGAGAAGAACATACTGACTGCACACAGAAAGGCGTTGGGAAAAATCGAACTCGGGTCTCTTGCCGTGCGGCACAACTGTTACCTCTGTGCCATCCTGCCGCCTGTGGTGAGGTAGTTTGTTGATAAGGTTGTGAAATAAATTAATGGTAAGGTACTGATGTGGGAAGATGGTGGGGTGACAAGGTGATGAGAGTACGGGGATGAGGAATTTATGTTTTTCATGTTTTTCCCACAGGGGCCTGGCTCCTACATCCTCAACTACATCATGTTCACGCTGGTGGCTCTGGCCTTTGCAGGCTTAGCCGTGACGCTCGTGCGGGAGTTCGCCCCCTACGCCTGCGGCTCTGGCATCCCTGAGGCAAGAGCTCTCCCTGCAAGCTCTCTCTCTCTATCTCCCACTCACTCGCAGCCCTGTGTACTCTAGTGTGCACTCATTAATGTGTACTCTCTTCTGCACACTCTCGTCCCTGTATACTCTGCTGTGCACTCACTTGTACTTTCTTCCTTGTGCTCACACTCCACTTTTGCACACTCAGTTTTACACACTCTGATCCAATCAAGCTTTACCATGTCTGCCCATACACTCGGCACTCCTGTGCATGTTTGCAGTCGTGAGTTCATTGTTTCCTGCTTCTGGCTAAATCTGATCCAGGGGTGGTCATACGTAATTCTTTATCATCGCTTTAAGGCAGGGGTTGGAACATTACATACTTTGTAAGAATCCCAAACCAAGTGGGCTGTCAGCAGGAAGTAGTACAGGAAATGAGTTGTGAGTTAAGCGTTACCCCCTTGTATGTGTGGGTTGCCTTAGGATACTTTGGTTTCCTCTCACATTCAAAATATTTATCGATGGACTTGGTTAAATATATCAATGCAGGACCCTCTTGAAAAAGGGGTATTGGAACTGATTGATTCATTTCTAAATACATAAACTACATTATATTGATTATAATCTCCTATCCATCTGCTTGCTCATATACGTGTACAGCCTTTTTGTCTTTCTCCTGCTAGATGAGGGCGTCCGCATGCTATACTGGCCGTGGAAGTTATTTTGACCCCACTTTACCACGCTGGTCAGTGGGGGTCAGTGAAGGCGGGGAGCATTGAAGTACAGTCCAACAACGGATTTTTGCTGCACGGCCCTCTGCCACCCACAGCGTATCCCACGAATGTCCGTAATTGCGCACGTGCATTACGCCGTCACAGATTAAGACGATCTTGAGTGGCTTCATCATCCGCGGGTACCTGGGAAAGTGGACGCTGCTGGTGAAGACGGTGACGCTGGTGTTGGCGGTGTCCTCGGGCTTAAACCTGGGAAAGGAGGGTCCCCTGGTGCACGTCGCCTGCTGCTGCGGAAACATCTTTAGCTACCTGTTCCCCAAGTACCGCACCAACGAGGCCAAGAAGAGAGAGGTGAGGAGGGACAGAGATCGGGTGAGGCGAGCGGGAGCCGGCAACATGTGGATGCCAGCACGCGAGGATTACAGGGGCCATTGGGTGACGGCGTCCTTGTTGGTGATTTTCTTCTCCTCGCTTCAGGTGCTGTCTGCGGCATCTGCAGCCGGGGTGTCGGTGGCATTTGGGGCTCCAATTGGAGGAGTCCTCTTCAGCTTGGAGGAGGTAACAGCACTCACGCAGATGAGAATGTGTGTCAACACAAATCCATACAAACATATAAAGTATAACCTTGGATTGTGAGTAACTTGGTCTGCGAGTGTTTTGCAAGATGAGCAAATTTTTAAAATAAATTTTAACTTGATAAACGAGCGAGGTCTTGCAATACGGGTAGTAAGGCTGTAGCAGTGCGAACGATGAATCTGTTTAACGACAATGCAATGTCACATTACCGCGAAATCCTCAAAAGGAGGCAAAAGCAAGTGTCATTGGATAGGTTCATTGTTAAAGTCGCACATAAAGAAAAAGATTCCAGTGAGCCAACAGATAGCAGTGAATCCGTTAGTGACAGTGAAAGTCGTCCTACACAATAACCCTCCTCTCCTCTCTCTCGTTTCCCTCACACCAGCCATGATTAAATTTAATTAATAAATTTGATTACTTTATATTAAATTGAAATAATACAAATATAAAAAGGTATTTTGTATTAATCATTTTTATATGAATATTTTTGGGTTGTGGAACGAATCATCTGAGTTTCCATTATTTCTTATGGGGAAATTCGCTTTGATACACGAGTGCTTTGGATTACAAACACGTTTCTGGAACGTATTATGCTCGCAATCTAAGGTTTTACTGTATATGCATGTGATCACAGAGCGTAAATAATAAGTTCCCACGTTTATTCTTCAGTTGTAAACGACTACACTTATGCATGTACACAGACGTATACTTTTACTATATAAGAACCAATAAGCCAGAATCACACTGTTGAAGAACTGCTGTAACTGAGCCATAGGAGTGGTCTCCACAAGGTGGTATCCACACTTACAGTCTCCACGAGTCTGGTGACCGCAGCGAATACAGAATACCTGATGGTCAGATATGGTTAGGGTAGATCTTGGAGGTGACGTGTCAACTGTGCAGCAACTGTGGGATATGGCAGAGGGTAGAAAGCATTTGAGGTAGCGTGGTGGCATCAACGGCTTTGGCCACGATGACGTCAATATAACATCATGGCCAAAGCAGTGCGTCTTGAGACAAGGTTCACGTGGTGAATCTGTAATGAGTGGACCGCCGTTCTAACTCGTCCCCAGGTGAGCTACTACTTCCCCATGAAAACGCTGTGGCGTTCGTTCTTCGCGGCGCTGGTGGCAGCCTTCGTGCTGCGAGCCATCAACCCGTTTGGGAACAGCCGCCTGGTCCTGTTCTACGTGGAATACCACACGCCGTGGTACCTGTTCGAGCTGGTGCCTTTCATTGCGCTCGGCGTGTTCGGGGGCCTCTGGGGCGCAGCCTTCATCAAACTCAACATCGCCTGGTGCCGGCGCCGCAAGACCACGGGCCTGGGCCGCTATCCTGTCGCCGAGGTAATCGCCGACCCTCGTCCCCGACCGACCCCAATGCTCTCGATGTCATCGCTTGACCCGAAAAATGTTGACTCCTGACACCGAGTTCATACCTCGCGCTGACTTCAGCACGTAACCTACGGCACCAACCCTGATTGCTCACCTGACGGTGACTCTAAACAATCGACTTCTCCCGAGGTGCCAGTAATAAAGCTCCAGTCTAGAAGAATATTACTTAAAATCGTCAAAGAATAAGCGATTGTAACCAGTCCTTCAAGTGCAATCTATATAATTTCGACACATAAAGTTGCTGGTAAGCAATTTATCTGGAGCCCTGATTGTAAATCTTGAGTTTCTTGAGCTGCCTGGCAAGAGATGTGACCCATGGCATACTTTTACTCGTAGAAGGACATGGTTTTTCAAACTTTGATGCAGCACGGTTGCTCCTGATTCACACTTGGACAAGGATGACCACATCTCCAAGACCTTCAGCAGTGGAGTTAGCTACAGGACATTGCAGGGTGCGGATGTACAAACTAATGAGCAAAAACAAAAATGATTTACACGAAACTGTTGCCAAAAACTTCCTGCAAAGAGGGTAAACTGTAAATTGTGTTTAAACACTCATCAAAAAAAATGTCCAAAAAATCCCGTCACACATGTATGTAAATAAAAAGTACATATACAGTGTCTTACATAATGGAACTCAGTTGCAGCATTTGCAATTGTAGCGGAGGTTCTAAGCGGCGTTGTGATTTCTTCGTGGCGGTGCTGCCCAGGTGTTGGTGGTAACGGCGGTGACGGCCATCATCTCCTACCCCAACCCCTACACGCGCATGAACACCAGCCAGCTCATCTCGGAGCTGTTCACCGATTGTGGGCCACTCAAGTCGTCGCCGCTCTGCGACTATGTGTCACTGGCTTCCAATGATTCAGTGGAACCGGGCGCCGGCGGGGACGATGTCCCGGACCGGCCCGCCGGCCCCGACGTCTATACGGCGCTGTGGCAGCTCGCCATGGCACTCGCCACCAAGATCCCGCTCACCGTTCTCACCTTTGGCATGAAGGTCCCGTCACGACTCTTGTCATGTCAACCCCATCCTGCCGCCTTCATCCTAATCTCTTCCTTTACCAACCTCCATCGTCCCTCAATTTGGTATCTCCTTTACATCCCTTTTCTGCTGTCTACCTCCCACTCTACATCCTCATTGTCAATGTTTTTCCTTGTGTTCCCACCTACATCCATCACTTTGTTGTTAATCAATGCTTTTACCTTCGTATGGCAGGTGGAATGCTGATTTTATTTAATCCAATCCAAGGAGGCTATATGGATCGCAGCGACACTTATAATCAATTAAGATCAATTTATGTATAACATTGTACAAGTGAAAATCTATTAATTTACGCACTTAAATATGCTGACATTACCTTAACGCTAATGCATTAAACTAGATAGTGCAAAATAAATATTGAAAATGAAACAACCACCACGTTTTGTATTCTTGAAATAAATTACGTGATCTCCAGTCATGACAATCGAATAGCCGAATAAGAATCAGAATATTTATGCTGAAGGAATCCGATGAGCCATGCAGCTCTTTTTCACCGATGTCCAGTAAGGAGTGTCACGCCCCAGCTATGGAGAGAGGCGAGTCTTGGAGCGGTGATCACCGAGTGGTGGGCGTTGGGCGTCGTGTCACAGGTGCCGTCTGGCTTGTTCATCCCGAGCATGGCGGTGGGCGCAGTGGCCGGCCGGCTGCTGGGAGTGTGCGTGGAGCAGCTGGCCGTGCAGCACCGCGACTGGATCTTCTTCCGCGGCTGGTGCCACGCGGGGGCCGACTGTATCACGCCCGGACTCTACGCCATGGTGGGCGCCGCTGCCTGCCTGGGTAACCACAACCGCCGCACAGCCGCACAGCCGCATCCTAACCTAGGGGCGGGGGACGGAGCCTATTGCTCGTGGGCCCAATACGGATACCGCTGATGTCTTTGTTTCATTTGGCTCACAAGCACGTGAAACCCATCAGCTATTGACGACCCGCAAACAACATTTAATACCTCTGTGCGAGCATCTTGGCTGCGCTAATTGGGTATGAGAGGGGACGGTATTTATCATTTTTATCATACTCGGTCACTTTTTTCATTGCAAGCGCGTCTTTTTACTCGGTCAACATGCGGATTCAAGTCGATGTTGTCATCATGAAAACTGCACTGTGTGTTGTTGTGCGTGTGCGCACATGGTTAACTAACATCGCATGAGTGCAGTAAAGATGAGCCCCCATTATTTTGTTATTGAATAAATAGAAGTTATGTGCCTGATAAAGTCCTAATTTTCCCTCAGTAAGTTTGAGTTAAGTTTATTTTATTTCTTAAGGAAAAGGTTCCCTCATCTCTGCCCCAAACCATAAAGATGGTGCCACGGCTGGATCGCCGGTCGCGATGGTGGCATCTCACGCTTTGTGTTCCTCTTTGGACGCGCAGGAGGCGTGACGCGCATGACCGTGTCACTGGTGGTGATCATGTTTGAGCTGACGGGTGGGCTGGAGTACATCGTGCCCCTCATGGCGGCTGTCATGACCAGCAAGTGGGTGGGCGACGCGTTTGGACGTGAGGGCATCTACGGCGCCCACATCCGCCTCAACGGATACCCCTTCCTGGATGCCAAAGCACGTGCTGTTCAGGGGATGCAGCGCAGCTACACTGAACCAATGAGAACCGTGACGTAAAATTACTTGTGTGCATATAGGTAGGGCAGGTGTATCTTATGTATGACAATCTGGGGGATCAATGGTCAAATCAGCTCCAGGGCAGGTCCTGGTGTCAAGGACACGGGTTCACATTCGCTGTTCTTCCACTACGTAATCCAGCAGATGTTGTTGCTTGGACCCGGCATGCATGCACCCAAGATGTTGTGTGGTGGCACTAATTATGGGCAGTGTGTTGGTAATTACATGCCCATGTACCGCGAAAAAATCTAGCAGTCTGACGACCATTATTGTTCAGCTTATCTGGCCCATGTCTTCCAATCACTCCTGCCAAAGTACTCGTGCCGTCACTGCCACTTAGTGACAAATTACAGTTTTTATAGGCTATTGTGTGGGAAGTGCTGGCATAGATATTGGCATGCCGCACAACAATCACCATGAGCCAGAGTACAATACTGGCCATATCTGTGTATGTCATGTTGACGAATATCAAGTTAATACCCTGTGTTGTGTTCCCCCGTCTTTGTCCCCAGGAGTCAGCGGGGGCTCCCTGCTGGGCACGTGACGTTATGCGTCCGCGTGGAGACTCAGCCACCCTGGTGACGCTGCGCTCCGAGGGCATGACCCTCCGCGAGGTACCGCACTGCCGTTGGTCGCATGGCCCTTACAGCGTGGCCCTGATGGCCTGACCCTTACCCTCACGGCCCTTAGGGTGCGGCTCGCAGCTGCTTGCCTTCCAAGATTTTACGAGATGATCTGGCCACCCTCAATGGTGTGGTCTGCGTAATTGGTTAAGATGTGATTGGGCAAACTGAAGGTGAGCGGTGATGCTGTGTATTCACATTGCAGAGGTAGCAATAGGATTTATTGAATATTAAGTGGCGACGTGCTCTTGTGGTTTTGTTACGAGGTGGAGGAGGTGGTGACGAGGTGTCGGCACACGGCGTTTCCCGTGATGACGGGCACCCAGTCGCCACGTTTGGTTGGCATGGTGCTGCGCTGCGACATCATGATCGCCATCGGTGAGAGGCTCCATGGAAACAATCACATACCTCTGCATATATTAACCCGCAAACGTCCTGATTGCCTGTGAGCCACATGGTTCGAATGTGTTTGATTTATTTATAGGCTTTTGCTGTAACCACATTGTGAATAATTCATGACCCTTGGGGAACTTCACAAGAGGTTGACAGTGACTTGTAAGCGGTATGGCAACAATACAATAATAGTTAACACATCTCTAGCATCTTAAATTACTATTGCAGCCTTGTACTTTATAACAGTAACATTCACAATTTGCTGTCATTGCATTAAAACTTTAGTGTTAACCATTTCCCTTCATTTTACAAGTTTACAGCGTGATGTATCCTTTTTTTCAAACTGAAACCTGAATAATCGTACTCCACAAAGGGAGTTTCTATGCTATTAAGCTACTGGCAGACTATGCACATTTGCAGGCCGGTGCTGTGTACACCTTGTGATACATAGGGACAGTTGCCATTGGGTGTCCCCTTGGCCAAACTGCCGCAGAGCAGTGGAAGGTTTGCGATGAGGTGTGACGGAAGGCGCTTTGACATGTTGGAGGCATTTAGGTGGCCAATGAATAAAAATCCTTACTCGTGTGCAGAGTCTGCGCGCAAGAAGCAGCCCGGATTGTCCGATAACTGCATGGTGAGCTTCGGAGGGAGTGGGAGGTCTGGCTCTGAGAGCACCGAGGTGGCCGAGGGGTCTGGTGGTGATGGCGTCACGGGAGAAACCCTGTGCCTGCGCTCCATTCTGGACGTCAGCCCGTTCACGCTGACTGACCAGACACCGATGGAGATTGTCATAGACATCTTCCGCAAGATGGGCCTCCGGCAGTGTCTCATCACTCACCACGGGTGAGGGATACACTGACATTCGCACACAAAACAAATAAAACACATATCCTCATTCGCCACTGACTAAAATCATCCGGAATATATCCAATCTTGTCGGGTCTAAGAAGCTCTGCATGGTTGAACCTAGATTGAGCTTGGATGGACGACGACCATACAAAACCACGTTGTTGTAGGTGTCTAAGGGGCCACGTGGTGGTCAGCAGAGAGCAGCCAAGCAAATCCACAGTACTATACTTATATGATTCCACACCTCATCACCTTCACCTTCACAAACCTACACCTACCAGCATGGAGAAGCGTGGTCAAATAACCCCCACGACCGTCATGGCATGGGTAGGCCCTCATCCAGCAGTAATTGACAAGGGGGCTGTAAAGTGCTATCAGAGAGTAGTTACTGTGGCCAGCACATCATGTACAGTGGTGGTGGAGGTAGCACCACGGTTGGCTTCCACACAATGCATAAGGCACTCAAGCTAAGTTGACCCTGAGATAAACTAATGGCAGGTACACACATCCCTTGGCATACTTGTCAAGGGCTGTAAATTGTGCACAATGACATTGGGGTCAGAATACAGTTTGCTAACCACGTACACCTCCTCACACGTGCAACACACCCACAAAGCAAACACACAACCTTACGAACAGACTCTACAATTTAATTCTAGATTGCAAGGATTCATATTCTTAGGTTTTTTCGGTAAAGTCAAGTAGGTAAAATTTTTTAAATTAATAAAAGTAATGTAAAAATAAAATAAAAATCACGACGTTTCGGAGGCAACACAAACCTCCGTTTTCAGGTGGAACCGTCACAGCACGATAGCTGTATCAAGTAAGAGAAATTCCAAGAAAACAGTCCTTGTATATATACTGGTTGAGGGTGGGAGGAGCCAAGGTAGGAGCCTGGATATTATTATTGTGAGGCTGAAGCACGCTGTTAGGAATGAGCCTTTGTTGTGTAGACTCTACAATAGTTGGGATTAATGATTGCTTGTGAAATGGTAATGAAGTGGCAATCATGACATTGTGATAACATGATTAATTCCAGCTATGGCTCGTGGTGATTGTGATGTGTCGGTGCAATTCTGCAGGCGGCTTCTGGGCATCATCACGAAGAAGGACCTCCTGCGCCACCAGGCGCACGCTTCCAATATTGACCCGCCCTCTCGCCTCTTTGACTAGCGCCTGGCAATTGAGCTGGGACCAGCCATTACTTGTATTGCTCACTGTCATTAGCCCGTGACTAGTCACAATCTGCTGTGACTAATACAATTATTAACTATCACTGACAATGTTGAGTGGTTTATGGCCATGCCAAGCTGTGAATAATAATTGGTAAATGACTAGATATTACCAATTCTGTCTAGCCATACCAGGCATTACTTACATTGTTAGCTATGATTGATTGTGAGTAGCCATGGTGGGATATGACTGATGGACTAATGATGGGAGTGATGATGTTTTTAGATGTCTATATTTGGCATACGTTTATGTATGCTTTGTTAATGCCGATGGCGAGTGCAATGCTGATGGTGACGAGAGTAGCCGTGAGTGTGCGTGGTGCGTGTTTTCTACGTACAAAAGTGCAAGCCGGGAATCTCCCCGCGGGTTTATTTATGCCGGCGTTTAATTTAACCTCGCGTGTTCTGATCGTGCAGCATTTGTGAAGGGCGTGATTTTTGTCGAAATTGTAGTTTTTCTTGGAGGCCGTGTCTTTGCATCCCAGTTCCCTGGAGTTGGCTGCCTCGGCTCCGAAGGAGCATAGCAAGCGGAAACATGATGCCTAATACAGAGACGCATTTCACTTGTTATTTTAATTGCCGTTTTAAAATTTCTCCTGCCATGTGGCTGTCTGACTTAAGCGTATGGAGCGAATCAATTAATTACTTAACCCATTGAGGTTACGATTTTGAGTTGGCTTGATTGCGTCGCCTAGACCCAACTGAGTGGTGGCACATAGGGGGGGTTATCATTACATTGAAAACATAAGAAACAACGTATTGAAGGCATTGCCTTACAATATACCATCCTTTGTGCTTGAAAACGATGAAGCAATGGATAAAATCTAAGTATTGTACGGTTAACCTAGCATAGTATGGATGAACTGCTGTGGGACCAAGGCTTAATTGATATTATTTAAAAGACCAGTGGAGAACGTTGGGAGTAGTAGGTATAAGTAGAAAAAATAAAGTTAATGCTTAGACAAAGAATGACACTACGGCCTTCTCATCCTTGTTTAGGAATTAAATGATCTAATGATGGTACGTGGAGAGTGGTTGGATACATTTGTCTAGTGCCTGTAGAGGTGCCTAGAGGAATTGTTGCCGTGAAATGAAGCCTTGTGCAGAATGTTGGTGCACACCGCTACATCTGTGACTGTCCTCATGGGAATCCCATGTTCTCCAGGGACAAACACAAAGTTCCTGCAGATTCCCACTACAAAAGGATGCACTCTATAGCTAAATATTTTCACATCCCTGGGGACTCATAACAGTGAAACTCACTGTGCACATGCGCACACTTCTTTCAGACATTCATGTGGGCCGCCACACAAATGAGATAAACGTTCACACCCTGGTTGTCGCTTCTGAGAGGTGCTTCTAAGGACACGTCTAGGCTGACCATGGCATTGTTTTGTCAAACATTAAAATTGAAACCTGAATTGCTGATGTTTCGATCACTTGTGTGTTTCTCTTAATGCTTTTCCGTGGCAAAACTACCTACCTATGAACAAATGTATATATGTTAAGCTTATTTTACACCATACGTAGCCAACCGTGCTAATTAGGGTGCCAATTAGCACCGTATGCAGGTCGTTGGTTTCATCTCGAACCTGACATCTAGAACTTGTATGTTTTCCCAGTGGTCGCGTGGATTTTTCTCCGGGTCCTCTGGTTTCCCCTCCACATTTAGAAACATTGGTAGAGTATTGGCTGCTGTGACTTTCCACAATCCACTTAATTGGGCAATGATTCGTGGCCTGGTAGCTTCTGAAAAAGAACTACATCGCTCAGTGGGCCTTACCTGGTGAAATGTTTTTTGTCATGAAGATAATAGGCAGACTTGACACGAATGATTGAAACTTAAAATGTATGAATGTCCTGCCCAAAAGGACATTGACACGGTGATAGTTATTTTTACAGAACTAAGGCAGGGGTGGAAATCATCTCCATTGATGTGCCTAGGGGCGAGTCTATCCACAGTATATAAGTTCCGTAATACAATTTTTAAAAAACCCGGAAGGATGTTTGCCTGTCATCCCCCAAAACGCGATATGACCTCGCAGCCCGAGACGGGAGTGTGCAGACAACAACGATTCTAGATTTGAAGCTTTCGTGACTGCAAGGATTCATATTCAACAACGATGTCAGATTCCACCCAGCAGGTGTCGCTGTTGGTCCGTGAACCTCGCGGCGCGCAGGGCCCACAGCATGCGGCCAATCACGCGCGTCCGTTGCGCACCACGTGGTGCGCGCTCGCAGCCAATCGTCGGCGCCCGCTGTCCGGGCGTAGTAAGATGGCGTCGCCTGCGAGTTCACTTTAGGCGCCGGAGGCCCGAGATAGGGTAGCGAGCGGGGGAGGTCATCGACATCCATCGACATCGCCACCCACCAAGCCCGACATGGAGGAGTCGCTGGAGACGATGCTGCGGGAGAAGCGCCAGGCTTCGACCGGCGCCGCACGACCCGACCTGGAGTCGCTGCGCGGCGCCGCCGAGACGGACAAGCAGTGGCGGGCGAGGCGCGAGTTCTTGTCGAGGCACGCGGACGCCTTCCCGGCAGAGGAGCTCGACCACCTCGTGTCCCTCTCGATGGTCTGGGCAAACAACGTCTTCATGGGATGCAGGTGCGATGGCCTCAGGATCTGGGGTGACGGGACACACGGCATATTATAGGACACGGGGTGGTGTTTGTGCTGCTCGCTTCGTGCCATCTCAAGAGAGTTTTTGGAGATGGACGCTCAATGTCTGAGCTAGGTCCGCTGCCAGATTATATCCCGCCACGCTCGTCTTTGTCTTCCTCTTGGGCAAGGGTGGTTGGTGGCGGCGGCCTAATGTTGGTCCAAGGGCTGCGTTGTGCGCGGCGTGATCGCGGTGGCCTGCTGCTGGCTGGGGTCAGGAAGCCGTGGCGCTCGGTGCCGGATTAAGCTAGCGCGGGGCCTGTAGCGTGTGTTATAAAGGGGCTCCTAAATAAACAAAACACATTAAAACACATACATTAATTTGCACAGTAAAGTAGTTGTATAATTTGCTAGCAGCCAGATAATACGCAAATCGATAACCTTAAACACCCAGTCATTCATAAAAGTTGAAGGCAGTATAGTACTATAGCAACAGAGCAAGTGCAGAATCCGGAATTGATAGCTTGAACGCATTTAGCGCGGGGCCCTTGAAAGTGCGGGGCCCGTAGCTACATATGTCGCTACTTGTGCTACTGGGAGAATCCGGCACTCGTGGTGCTGGGTAACGAGGGGACTGACGAGGATTGAGCCACGGGAGGAAGGACGTGAATAAGTGGTTGTGATGAGACGGCAATGAGCTGTGAGTGGCGCTGCTGTACATCACTTAACCAACAGCCGATGGTGAGCGTGTGTTGTGTGGCGGCTTGCATAAAACACCAGTTTCACATTATGGTGATGGTGATGACAATTTAAAGGCTCAACCGGCCACTGGACTCTCTCTGTATATGTACTTGATTATATTTGGAGATATTTGGCAAAGTTGTATTGCTCATTGGATTATTTTAAGATAAATAAATATTCTAATAACGATTTAGACATTTTAAATACGGACATACAGTATAACATGTATGCCAATTCTAAAGTTTTGCAAAAAGTCAGAGATAAAATGTGGCTGTCGAGTTTTAATCACATACTCTTGTGGTCAAAGCTTTATATGTATTATTACAGCTGGAAATGGTCAGAGCTTTGTCTTGTTTCTACAATTAAATATTATGTACACATCTTGGATTATTTAAGGGTTGATATTGGGGCTGGGTTTGTATCCGCACAGAGTTGTAAACTCATAAGCAAAACAATGTAATGTAGTTACTGTATGATGATGCTGCTGTTGATGTTTTGTCATGGTGGTGGTTGTTGATGGGTGCAGGTACAGCGCGGAGCTGATGGCGCGCGTTGGTGAGATGGCGGCCGGCGTGCACGTGGAGGATGCCCCCATCTTCACCACCAGGGATGAAATCATGGCCAAGCAGGTAGGCCCGGAGCAGGGAGTGCAGCACGCAGGGCCACTTGGGGGGTTGGGGGTGCGACCGTTGTATGAAGCGGTGACCACCCCCAGAGTTAAGACTGTTGTTATCACTTAACAAGAATCATAAACTGTTTTCTGTGTTTTTTTTCCAGAAAAAATGAAGAACTCATGCGTCGAGTGATCCACAATCACCTCCTGCTAAGATGTTGCTGTGCACGATCATTACACACGTGAACTTGAGCTCTGTGGATTCAAGTTTCAACACGAGGTTGCATATAAAATGGAGTGTTGTGTATGCCTTTTGTAATTAAATGTACTTTTTGATGTTTCATTGCCCTATTCTTTTTTTTGTCTATTTATAAGATAACATACATTCCCATTTTCGAAGTTGAATGGCAATAAAAATGTTTTGCATTTTGTTAGTTGTTTTACACAAAACTTACTGAGTGCCTTCACCTTGATATTCACCCGCACACACATGAAGTCTTATATAATTTATTTCATTCCCAATGTTGACATCCGATGGTGTTGCCAAGGGCTGCCGAGGTCATGCATTTGGGTTTCCACCCCTTCGCTGCTAGCGGGGTGTTAATGGTAGCCGAGTGTGTGTACATAAATAGCCCTTTTTTGGCATCCCCTTTAGGAAGAGTACTCACTGTAGTTAAAAATAGAGAGCTGCTGGATGTGTCAAGTCGGTCACAGATTTCAAACAAGGCAGCCATTGCTCAAAAACAATAAGATAAGGGTTTGTGCTACAGTGGTGTGCAATATAAAAAAACTCGCCACATTCGGCAACACTGCCTTGAACAATACTTATACAGTAAGCTGACGTTTCAAGCAATGGGCCTTCTTTAGAGCATTTTTCCAACTTTTCAGGTCAAGACGTGAGAAACTGATTCACAGCCATTGCCCAAAACGTTATATCTGTTATAAGACGTTTTTGGAGATCATATGCAGATTACAAAAGATTCATATTGTTAAATAAAAATGCTATAAGTTGGATGGGCAGGACACGTTGCTCGAAGTCGTGATGGACGATAGTTTAGAATAATGACAGTAGCAGCCAAGGGATGGAACGCATCTGTGAGGATAATGCTGAGATGGAGTGATACAGTCGGCTTGTGTTGGGGTGGATTATGACATTGCAAGTTCATGAGAGATGACAGATTGAGGGCTTTATCCAGCAGTGGATTGACCATGGATAATGGCAAAGGCAGAGTTAATATGAATGTGTATTTGATGCATATTGAACAATTGTTCCCAATCAGTGGTCCACAAGGATATGGTTGTGGAACTTACAGAAACTATTCTAGGATTATTTTCACAACTTTTACCTGTACTGTATTTTACTACCCATTGCACAACCATTTGGATGTTTTATGGCAATGCAGCTGGCAAGTGACTGAAGCTGCTGATTGCTGGCATTGGTTACTAACAGGCAGTTTTAACTTAGAAAAAATATTATTGCAGGATGGTCTGACTACAGAGTGGCCCACAAATCAGCACAATTATTTTAACAAATCGGGGTTATTTCATTTATTTAACAACATTTAAAACTGACTTCCATGAACAATGCATGCATCAATTCTCTTGAAATGAATTTTGGACATTTAAGATTACAAGTGTAATCTTTGAACGTTCATCAATTCTGTTTTTTTCTCAATTTCATTTAAAATGTCATCTGAAAAGTAAGAAAAATATTTTAAAAGTGATCAAACTTAAATATTGAACAATTCAAATGTTTTAATACCAGTGTTAAAATAAATTCAAACCCTGTGCCCTGACTTTGGACAACCCTGTATAAATTATTGGCAGTGGTCTGGAGATCCAGAAATGTTGTAATACCTGATACTATAAAGGACCTGGACTGTAACTACCCTGAACAGATGCGGTCAATGCTACCTCTTGTGAATTGCAAGCAAATTGAGTGATGGTAAATCAATAACCAGACATCGCTTCAGACGTTCTCGCGAGCATTGCTTTGAGGTAATTATCCAGGTGGTGGCAAACAGAATGGCCATGGAAATTAGCAACATCAGCATCTCGAAGTCATAACACAATGGTACTTGATACATATGTATGTTTAACTTCTTTCGCGCCGTACGTCGCCAACCGTACGAATCTGGAGGTGCGAGGGAAGGACAAACTAAACAAGGCAGCTGTAAAGAAATTCGTTACAGGTCTAGATTTTTAAGTGCATAGCTTCGGTGGCTTCCAAATATATGTTGACCATACAACTGATGACCAAACAATTATATCCAAAGCAGAGCTAAACATGCACAACATGCATGCTTATAGACGACTAGCATAAGTACCCGGCGTTGCCCGGGTGAAAAATATATTTCTTAATAACCTTACATATATACACAGATGGGCTGCTACCCCCCCCAGCCACGATGTCCTCGGCCGCTGTGCAGTAATATGTACGGCCTATAGTGTGGTGGGGTGTCGAGGCCTAGTACTGTGCAGAGCCTCCGGCCTCGCCTAAATTGCCCACCCGGCTGAGGCTGGGTACGGGTGCCATTCCCCCCCCGCGCTACAATAATACTGTCTAATCGCTATAATTTTATTATCTACTGACCCTATAATAGTAATTGCACACATTGGGGTGGGGGGGGGGGGGAGTGAAGAGGACGTGAAACTTTGATGAATTTACCTCAGAGTCGCGTGGTGGGTGTCGAGGCCTAGTACCGTGCAGAGCCTCCGGCCTCGCCTAGATTGCCCAACCAGCTGAGGCTGGGTACTGGGTCCGGTATCCCCCCCCCCCCCCGCGCTACAATAATACTGTCTAATCGCTATAATTTTATTATCTACCGACCCTATAATAGTAATTGCACACATTGTGGTGGGGGGGGGGGGGAGTGAAGAGGACGTGAAACTTTGATGAATTTACCTTAGAGTCGCGTGTTAATGCGTGCGCATATTTTTAACGGGAATTAAAAATGGCGTCCACCCCGCAGCGAATGCGTCGCTACCCGTTGCCAGGGGCAACCGCCGTCCAATGAAACTGCGTATGGTCCGGCCACACAGACACACACACAGACAGATTTGCGATTTTATATATATAGATATGGTTCTCTGCAGGTGTAATGGTGATGCAATGGTAACGCGCTGAGCTATGAATCCGGCAACCCGGCTGATTTCTGGCCATGGCTCACACGAGTCGTGTAAGATCAACACGCCAGTGTGAAGCACTTCTACTCATACCCTCCCACACCAGTGTGAAACACTCCCTCACCCAGCCACTCATACCTGTGTGAAACACTCCTGCGCACACCCATTCACAACTCTGTGAAACACTCCCTCGTAAATCCAACTCACCTGTATTAAAACACTTCCTCATACACACCTGTGTGAAACACTCCCTCTCACACGTGTGAAACACCCACATGTGTGAAACAATCCCTCACACCCATAAACACCTGTGTGAAACAACCGCTATTCGCCACTAAGTGGCGGTGACGTCACGATGCTTGTGCCAGGCTAGGTGCACGTTGAGGCCACGTGAAGTGTCGAACGCCCGCTGGCAGGAGGTCACGGCAGACCCAGCAGGTGCCACGGGTCGACTGACTGAGATAACCAAGATGACTGGCTGATGCACCACCTGTGCCCCCTATTGTGCCAACTTGCTGTGCTTTAGCCACCCGGCACTCTGCTCGTTGTTGTCAGCGTCGCTCCTCCGCCCTCCGTTGTTGGAGGACAACTGCCTCCAACTGCCCAGTAGCGTCCTTCACGAGCCTGCTCCACAGAGGCCGATCTTGACACCGTTGGTACCAGTCATCGGCAAGTCCACTCAGCTCCACATCCTCCTGTACTACATCACTCCACCTCTTCTCTAGCCCGTACCGCGCCCGTTTAGCCCCCTCGATCTGGCCGAACAAAAGCTGTTTGGGCATGCGGTGGCTGGGCATGCGGGCTACATGACCCAGCCAACGCAGCCTTGCCTGCCGGAGGAGCTTTGCCCAGATCTTTCAAGGATTTGTGAGCTCCTCACAATCCAGCCTGGTTAAACCCAGGATGGATCGTAGGCTGGCCAACCTAAATGTTTCTAACCGGCGAAGATGCTCCATTCGGGGGGCCCACGTTTCGCAAGTGTAGAGAAGGGAGGGAATGACTGGCCGAGAAGACCTGAAGCTTCGTGCGGAGCGACAGACCAGGTAGCTTCCACACAGCGTTACGCAACCGATGAAAATATATTGCCGCTCGACTGATTCGGAGTGAGACCTCTGCTGTTAAATCGGAGCCGGTCATGAGCACACTGCCCAGGTATGGGAAACTCTCCACTCTCCACTACTGCCCCATCACCGATTGGGAGTTGTGGGAGTGGAGTGCCCGGTGGTACAAAATACCCAGGACAAGGTGCTTAGTTTTGGTGGGGCTGATGGTAAAGCCCCACCTCTTAGTGGCAAGTTCCAGGTTCAGCAGCAGCGCCTCCAACTCCTCCTCTGAGTGAGCAGCAATCACCAGATCATCGGCATACATAACATGGTTGAGCAATAGGGAGCCATCCCTTGACCGTACCCGGGCATCGATCAACCTCCCATTGTATCTGTAAACACTCCCTCTCACACCCACATGTGTGAAACACTCCTTATCACACCCACACCTCTGTGAAACACTCCCTCTCACAACTGTGTGAAACACTCACACCCACCCACGTATACCTGTGTGAAACAATCCTCACACCCACAAACACCTGTGTGAAACACTCCCTCTCACACCCACACACGTGTGAAACACTCCTCGCACCCACACACCTGTGTGAAACACTCTCCACCCACACACCTGTGTGAAACACTCCCTCTCACACCCACACACGTGTGAAACACTCCTTCTCCCACCCACACCTGTGTGAAACATTCTCTCTCACACGCACACACGTGTGTGAAACACTCCTTCTCACACCCACACACGTGTGCAACACTCTCTCACACATCCATACATGTGTGAAACACTCCATCTCACACGCGTGTGTGTGTGAAACACTCTCTCTTATACCCACACGCGTGTGTGAAACAAGACAGAACCCCCATATAACCTTTCATTTCAGTTTCATTTATTAGGTATAGCCCTGTGAGCCATTCGGCTCTTGGAATCGGATGCAACCGCAACAAACAAAAACATGAAACAAAAATATCTTAAAGTGACTATGTGACTGTGCAAACAGAAAATCCAAGAAAAGACAGCAAAATATTCCACAAAAAGCACCGTACACCAACGCTGTGTGCAAAAATCCCAGTGGGATGCAAGTCAAACAACAACAACCACAAGACAACTTAGATTAAGGCCATCAGTCTTACTCCGTACTACAACAAACAAACATGGTCAAACCAAAAAACTTTTCGAAATCACCTAAATAAAGCCATAAAAGCAATGTAACAGTGATCATAGGAACCATGACCGAATCTTCACAATAAA